ACTCCCTTTGACGTCACCCAGCAAAAAAAGCCAAACATGCATGTATATATGTATATCTATCCCTGTAACATACATATGTATGTATGTATACAGAGCAAAGCTTTTTAATGTTCAAAACAAGGACATGTTTGTATACAAAACGCTGAATATTAAATATCTATGAAGTGTATAACATGGACTTTATAATCATCGACTGGAAAGTAAAGATACTCTAATAAAATATACACTATGTACACTCATACATACATATGAGTAACAACGTTCTTTTTTTAAATAAACCGAATTTATAACTAAAATACAAAAACTAAGAAGTCAATAGAATTTGCCATGTACGGAGTGTGACTTGCAAATCGTTCCAAATAAATTATGTTTGCATTCGGTGCCAGGTTCCATAGATAAGGTGGGAACGTGATTGCCCCAACCGCAATGGACGCGATCATTTGCCCCTGTTTTTGTCACCCCGCCGCGCAGATCCCATTTCCCGCATTTATAGCCCCCCGTTGAACCCCCGAACCACCTACTTAAACACACATGTCTGTTCGTTTCGAGAGTTGTTGTTAATTTTTGTTGATGTGTTTTTATTTAGATTTTTTATTATCGCGCGCGCTTTTTTTTCGGCTTATCACTTGTCCTACCTCCCGGTTTCTGCCTCTCCTCTTCTGATTTTGCCTTAACCCACAATTAAAGTTGATGTGATCTTTGTTCGCCGCGCGGCCAATTCACAGTTAAGCCATATCAACAAAGATGGATGAAAGGGAGAGAGGGGAAAAGAAAGAGGCAGAAATAAAAAAGAGGGGCGTTACGGTGGGACGTAGAAAGAGGAGGGAGAGCAATAAACCTAACCTGAATCTACAACAACTGGCTCTTCTGGTGGGTGACATTGCAAGAGACAAGCGGAAAGCGAGATAGAAATGAAAAAAAAAAGAAACCGAGGGACTAAGAAAAAAGAAAAGAAAGAGAGAGAGGAGCAGTGAGGAAGACAGAGAAGCCGAATAAGCGCAAAGTAGCGCAACTTGCGGTGACAACAACAGCAATAAAAATAACAACGACAACTAGAACAACAATCGACTGTTACAACAACAATCTCGTACGGTGCGTCTCTGTAATGATTGACAAAATTTGATATTTTGTTTATATCTGCCCTATAAAAGTTTTTTTTTATACGTTTCTAACTGTTATACGTACATATATACATAAACATACATTAATACTTGCATTTAAAAAGTGTGCAGAATACAACACATTTCTTTGATAAGCTTGAATTTTCCCAGAAAACACGCCAATTTTATAATGCGAATTAAGTTGGTTGGAATTTTTTTCTATTCATTTTAACCTTTTACCTGATATGTTTCTGTGTAAAAGAGGTAACCTTTAGCCAGTGTCCACAGTATAATCGGCTTGTCGGTTTTGCGCGCGTAATCGATGCTGCCCATCCCCATCCCCCCTTTTCAACCCCTCTCTACACAGCAACCGCTTTACGATCTTGTATTACGTGTTGGCGTTTTGCATGTTGTTGTCCCTCTGTTGTTTTTCTCTTGCCTTTTCTTTTTTACTCTGGCTTTATTTGTACACGGATCGGTTTGCTTCTTGGGCCGACTGAATAATCAAGTCACAGTTCCAGTTCCACCGCCCAGCACCCCGCAACCCCCTTTCATATCCACCCCTTCGGTCAGTGGCTCGGCACCCAGCAACAACCAGTTATATATAGACATATCCACACATACATATGTATGTACATATACAAGATGTATAAGAGGGGAACCGGTTTCCTTTTACTGTCTTGCATATTTTTAGCAACAAGTTGAAAGAGTTGCCTTGTCAAATGGATACAGTCAAGCTTCGCAAAGTCAGTACTACAGATTTGTAGAATAAACTAAAAATTAAAATCAAAAGATCTAAGATCTTTAGCAATGTTAAAATAGGTCCATAACTATGAACCTTGCATTTTAAATTCGTTGAAAATATTTTACTTTACATGTTGAAGTTGTTCATATTCTTACTCTGCTTTATTTACATTGTTGCAATCTATCTGAGAACATTTGCGAAATTCCGATTACAGAACTTTGACTGTAACAGATTGACTTTAGGAGAGGGCGGGGGGTAGCCAAAGGGAGTAAGAGGCAGACAGTAAAATGATAATGAAAACGTGTAGAAAGATCGACTGTGATCGGCATTCGCTTGTAACAAAACAGTTTTTATGCGCAAAAAAGAGACAACAAAAAAATTAAGAAAAAAAACCCGAATCGGCAAAAAGAAAACAAGAAAAACAATAAAGAAACCCCTTTAAAGGGGAATGGGGAAAGGGGGACTGCTACAACAGCAATAAAAGCAACAAAAGCCACCGCAAACATAGCGCTGCGTCATTGACGTCGACTGCGGCAGCGGCGGTGGCGGCAACGCCGCAAAACAATTGCCGGCCATTGTTGTCGTTGTATTTGCAATTGTACTTGTACTTGCGACCCCAACGGCCCGACGTCGCCGTCAATATTGTTGTTTCACTAACTTTAACCCCAAAAGAGTCGGGCATGCACGAATCTTAGTTAAGTGTGGGGGTTCCAGCGCATTTTTATGTTACCAACTTGGAATTTTCAAAGCAAACATGATTTCAAGCACCGGATTTAATTTTTTTTTCTTTCTATTTCTATACAAAAACCTATTATGCACTTTAAATATATATCTTGTTTTTAAGCTACCCACAAACCTATTTATGTATATTTTTTCAAAACAAGCGCCATAAAAAGGTTCCCTGTGTAAAGCCTCAGCTTATGATAGTACACATTTAATATGAGGTTACCAAAAACCAATTCTTAATTAATTAATTATTTTAATTTCAACTCTAAAAGAGTATTCTTAAATGAAGTATTTCGTTAATTTGTTGTCTCGCATTCGGTTTTCTTTATTTTTCTTAACATTTTGTTACATTTGCTTTGCCATTCATATTTCTTTTTGTTTATTGTTGTTTCGAACAACATCAGACACTTAAGAGCGTAAAGAAGGAAAGGGGATGGGGATAGGGAGAGCAAAGCGCCAGAGGGAGATGCAAACACAATGGCCACACTTTGACCCTGACTTTTAATGTGTACATTCGCCGTCTCGCATTCCCCCCCGCCGCTCTTGTTTCTCTCTTATGCTAAATTATTGTTATTATTATGAATTGTGCTCCATGCATTTGTTTCGTTGTTTGTGCCTGTGTTTTTGTGGTTGTGTCTGCTAAACACTAAAGTATGATTAATTGACCCGAGGTTGGCCGGCGCACTTTAGCACATATTTCCCCTGGCCACCCCAACCACATTTCAGTATGGTTTTCCTTCCACGGCTAATTGCCTTGGCAACTAAAGAGATCGTTTGACCAAAGGAGCTATATTTAGATTGTGCATTTAACACCAGACCATCTCCTTCCACGTTTACGTATTAACTACGCAGGTAGTTACACTTTTATTACGGGCGTTTGAAAACAAAATAAGCCATCGAAATTGTATTTAAACAAAGTGTCAAACAAAAATTATTAATATAAATTTTATTGGGAAATGTATTTAATAAGGGGAGGGGCTTCTTTATTTGTGTAATATTTATAACACAATTATTATAATTATTTTGTTGTTTCCAACTGTTCGCTCAGTGTTTTGTATTTGGGTGGGCGGCATATTATATTTAAGCCTTTAAGCTTTTCCTCGGACCTTTTACCAAATATAGCTCCACGGGTTATGGCTTAAATAAGTGCGTCAATCAAATTGCAACCACCAGCACACAGTGGTCGGGCTTGTATGGAACCGCGGCCATAAATACTTCTAGATGTGCTATCGCTATGAAACTTTCACAAAAAATCTATAAAAATATTATAAATACATTATAAAAAAATTGACCGGATCGTTCCACTATATCCTATAGCTTCCATAGGAACGATAGGAAAATTGACTCCCAAATGCACACTACACTTTTTTTAAAGCGTAACTGACAAAAATTATATTTATTAAACACATAATTTTGGTTAAAAAATTAACAAAAGATAACAAAAAATTATGACTAACATAAATTTAAAGTAATATAAAATTAATACGAAATAAAAACAAACGAAGGCACAAAACAAAAACATGCCTCCCTCCTAAATAGAGCTACTGGAAAATGAGGTTAGGTTGCATTTTGTTATGTCAAAAGTGCATCTGCAGGCTTCCGCAGCTGAAGTCAGCATTTTTATAATCTTGAAATATTAGTAAATAACGGCACATACATTTCATTGGGGGGCAAAGGGGGAAAATACTTAAAACTTTACATAAACATTGGTAACGCACAACATATATGAACAAAAAAGTCGCACTTTTTTAACAAAGATTTACACGAAATACAGGACAAATTATTTATATATTTATCTTTAAAAATAAAGTTTATACCATTATATACAATATCCATTACAATCGTTTTTGGTTTAACAGCGTTTTATAATATATTTAAAATTTTTAAATTTGTGTATGCACTCCACTGCAGTGGCTTTTAGTTTTTTGCTTGGTTTGTGCGCTCACTTTGCGCGCCAATTACTCCGCGAAGGTGTGGGGCAAAAAAAAACTAATAATTGTTTTTTAAGCCTTGTTCTATTGATAAACAGATGCGCCAAATTTGAAATCAAAATTCCAAAGTTGATTTTTTTATTTTTGGCCTATGGGACCGACCACTGTGCAGCAGTTTCAACCATTTGTGCAGTGATTTATACGTAAATAAGCCCAAAAGTATGCCAATAAAAATATAAAAATATACGAACATGTAAGTTGGCACTTTATTTGAAAATTTCATCATTAAAGGTTTTTCAGGTTTTTTTCATCTCTTTTGGTTTAAAAATAATATAACAAAATAAAATTATTAAGAGTACAAAATTCAACCAGTTAAAACATCGTGTAGTTTATCTTCCTCTGATTTTGGAGACCGTTTTCCAATATCTGGATGAAGTTTGGCGATTCCCATAATTAAATAACTAAAAATAGTTCATTTAAAAAGTATTCAACAAGGTCTAACATTTAGATTTCCGTTTTATTATTAGGTATTTCGAGTTACCCTACAGAGAACGGGGTACAACTAGTTGAAGTCATGTTTTCTTAAAACTACAAAAATAAAGAGGATTAGTTACGAAAAAAAAAATTAGAGAGGATTAGAAACAACAAAGGGATCTTAAGATGATCTTAAGCGGATCTCTGGACGATTGCCAAACGATGATACCTCGATGGAATCAAATGGACCCCTAGGTAAAAGAATCCATAAGGAAATCTAGGCATTTCGCACGCCGCGCAGCTCCTTGTCGGCCTTCTTGAGGGTAATGAAGTTGTTGAGCGCCTTGACGCGCAGCTTCGACCAGACCATGAAGTTGCCCAGTCCCAGAATGGTGGCCGCATGCAGAGCAGCTGCCTCCGGATAGAGAACAGTGGCACAGCCCAAGCCCGATGGCAGATTCAGACTGGACCAAACGTCCACCTGCATGTTGTCCGATTTCACGGGCGGGCAATTGATCACCGGATAGTTGGTGCTGCCCGAGACAACGGGCCCGAGTCCATTCGATCGTCCGGCGACGGCAACGAATATCAGATTGGTCATCACCGATTCGTATTCGCGGACAATGCGCAGCGTTTCCTCGGGTCCCTTGTGGGCCGAACTCACCCGGAGTTCGACATTCAGGCCCAAGGATCGGCAACTGGTGGCGATCTTCTCGCTGTGCGAAGTATCCGAGGCGCTGCCCATTAGGACGACCACCAGATGATCCTTCTTTGGCACAATATCGGCCAGTTGTTCGGCCACCCAAATGAAGTTCCTCTTGACAGTGTCCAAATCGCTGGCCGTAACGGACGCCAGATTGCGATACACTTGCTTGTCGACCATCAATCGCTTATCGCCGGCCGGCCACAAACGCCACGAATCGGAGTCTATAATATCGGCCAGCACTATGTTGCCATCGTCGCACACACCGAACTCCACCTTCATGTCGATCAGGGCGCAGTTCTTCGTCTGCCACGCCCTCTCGAGAATCTCGAAGACCAGCAGGGTGGTTCTACGCATAATGTCCACTTCATCTTGACCTGTTTTGTTTTTGGGAGAAAAAATAATTTAACTAAATATTGAGGAATAAATTAATTGGACTCACCGATCAGCAGACCATTCAGCTCGAATTTCGCAGAAACGATTTGCTCCTCGCTCCATTGGGGATCGTGGTTGGCATCATCCTTGAAGAACGTCTCCTGTTTGGGTGGGGAGAATCTGAAAAAAAAAGGATTTGTATTTAATTTAGTGGTGCTAATTTGTTACTCATAATAATCAGAACAATTAATGTCCCCAGGATAATTTAATTTTTTTATAACTTTAAAGGATGCTCTTCATAATTTTTAAAAGTGTTTTAATCAAACTAAATTGTTATTTTGTAAATATTAACTTTTATAATTGAATCAAAACCCCCATAGAGTTGCTGTTCTATGATTGTGTTGGTTATGATTAAAGCCATAAAAAGGTCTGTTGCCTTGGATAGACATCAAATGATACGGATTCTGCGGGGAGAGATCGTTGCCGCTGTGACGAAAATCCGGCTCGAATTTCCGACCCCACGATTCTATTTTTTGCTGAGCTTAGCAATGTGCTGCTATTCCAAGGGGGAATCGGAGGTATATCGCTATGGGGGCTTATCAGCGAGTGTTGACCCTGCCGCAGTGCATCGATTGCAGTTAAATTTGTTTACCGCAAGCGGTCCCAGATAACAGAGATCGAACCGGTTCGCTTTTGGATCGGATCGGGTGATAACCCCCGGCTAGAGACGCACACCCACTGTTGCCATACCAACCTGTAGCCCTCGGGCACTCCGACGTTCCGCTTGAGGAACGATCCGGTGGCCAATCTCCGAGTCACCCACTCGATGGGAATCATCTGGCATTTGCGGGCGATGAAGGCCTTTGCTCCGCAGTGTTTCACATAGGCGGTGCGAATACCTGTTAATAAAAAAAAGAATATAAGAAACAGTTCAATAAATAATCCATACTAAATAAATATTTTAAAAACAGACTTAAAGGAAACAAATTTTTAACTTATTTAGGAAAAACAAAACCATTGAAAGAAATTAATAAACTTTAATACAATTATATAGTTTATTCTATATAATTCAAACTTTAAAATGCTTGTTTTTAAGTTTAAAGGTAAACAAGAAATCGAAGATAATCTAAGCTGTTACTTTCAAAATGTAGTTTTAGCAATTTTAGCTGTTTCCGAGATTTGTAAAGTAAACATTGATATAAACTATAACTTACCGGCCTCGTTGAGCAGTCGGAACACCTGACCGTTGGTGGTGTTGGAGATCTCCGCCTTGCCAGCCAGATCGTGGGCCTTGACTCCATCTCCAGCGGTGATGCGGTCCTTGCTGAGGAGCAGGCAAAGTCCTGGCTGTTCGGGCAGGTCGTACACCTGTTTGGTCTTGCCCTCTATGATGACCTTGCCGAGCTTGTAGCCCTCAACTGTGGAAAGTATTGAAATATGATTTAGTTTAAATTTAATACATACAAACTTGAACGATAAACAAAAATATTTATGCTTTTTGTGTATTGTATTATACATCCATAATATTAATATATTTATTTATTTAATTATTATTTTGAGATTAACAACAGATAGCGTTTCTTTAATCTAATAAATTTGTAAATAATATTTATAGGAGCAAATTTATAAACTTGAGTTATCAATTTTAAATCATTTTTGTTTACCAAAACAAGGTTTTATGAACATCAATCGAAAAGCAAATTATTATTTATTTTTGGTTATCAGATTTAATTGTTGTTATTTTAAATAAGAAAAATAAGATTCACGGAAAAATGTTACTTTGACGGGACTGTTATCAAATTGTGCCCAATTATTTTATTTTTCACTTTTACTCTTTGCGATCTATATTTTATTGTGTTTTCATAATAAAAAAATGTTATGGGTAAACGTATTGCTGATGTTGGGGACTTTTACTTTTGTTTGGAGGCCTAATGAAATTTACTTTTAGAACTGAATAGGCTAAATTTGATATGCACGCATGTTTACTTCTACTTGAGGATGTTTATAGTTGATATAGTAACTCAAGATCGGGACAACTTACTGGATGTTGTTGTTGTGGCTGCGGACGACATCTCGATTCGCGTTCTTTTCGATCGTGTTTCAGAATTGAAATTGAACCCAATTGGCGGCTGCTGTTTCACGTGTTGCGCGCTTTGCTTTGTGCTCGATATTCGCTTGTGCTTTGCTTTGCCTCTCTCTCACTCTCACTCTCTCTCTCCCTGCTTCTTAGCTTTTTTCCTGCCGTTTGTTTGTTTGTACGCGCTGCATAAACTCCGCCGTTCGTCTGACTCGAAGAATCACTCCAAAGCAACTGGGCGTCAGCAGAATCGCCGGCGCGACTTTATGGCTCGATTTTCTTATCGCCGAAACCCCCACCAACACACAGAGATCGTATACACATAGTATCACTGCGCGTGCGTGTGTGTGTGTGGGCTTAGAAACGGGTATAGTGCTAATCGGTAGTACCCTGCAATTCCCAAGTGGCTCGCTAATTTATAGATTAATTTTGGTATAGTGTAAAGCTTTTCATTTTTCATCTTCTAACTCGGTGGTTGTATTGGTGACCTTACTCTTAGTAGTGGTGACCTCTTATCTCTCTTTACCTCTGACCTCCGTTGCTTATATTGGTGATCCTAATCCTTTTTCTTTTGGTGACCATTTCCTTTTTTTGTGACTTTCTAGACCTTCCGGTGGCCTTCCCTATGTTTTATGTAAGCTCTTTTTTTCTTTTGGTGACTCCAACTTCACTGATTACTTTTCTTTTCATTGTGACCCATCTCCTGGTGACCTTTATTGGCCCCTTAACCATTTCCCTCTGACTTCTAAACCTTGGTAATCTTATTTAAAAGAATTTGTGAACCGGAAAAGGGAATCCCTTTTAATGCTCTTGTTAAACAATTCAGCCTATATAAAGAATGCTCTTTTCCGCGAAGCAAAATTAACTAGTTAAGACTTACTATCCATCCGAATTTGTGCTTTTCTTCTCAGTTGTCTTGCGTGTCGCTTGAGCAGTCCTTGGGCAAAAGGTTTTTTTTTCTAAAAACGAGCATAAAGCCGATGAGAAATGCCCTCGGACTTTTGAAGTTGGCATCTGTTATTCACTATATAATTTGGTAATATCTTAGGTATACATGGGTAATGCTGATAGATTTGGTAGTTCTTAAAGACTTTGTTTAACAAAGCTAGCATTATACTCGTTTTTAAGGGCGTGCCGCCACCCATCAAACATGTTCCCAGGGTCAGTCCTCCACCATTTGACCATTTCGTGTGGGAAACTCGATGACCGGTAAGATTTTGCGCTGTTGATGCTGCGTGTTCTCGTCCATCAGACGCTGAATGAGATTGGCGATATCCTCGCGTTTCTTGGTGACCGTCAGCAAGTCAAACCAATTGCTCAGCTCATTGATGGGCAGTCTGTAGTCTCTGATCGGTTTGGTGAAGAACTGCTCGACATATTGCAGCAGATAGAGACCGCAATCGGTAAGATTCTCCTGCTGGGGAACCTTCACTCGATGTCCCGGCATGTTAATCTTGTTGAAGACACGCGGTTCCGCATTCGGTTTCTTGGCCCGATACTCGCAGGTGAGATAATCCCGGAGTATGACCATTACGCGGTTACGTGACACGCCCGGAAAGGAATCGAAAATGAGAATCACTGGCTGCTTGATCGGGTCATCATCGCCAGATAACTGGCCATCATCATATGGAATGGGACCCGGTAAGCTGGGAAAGCATATTATGGCGAGAATCCAATGGGCCTGATCGTTGAAGGGTATGATGATAAAGTCCTTGTCGAAGATATCCACCGATCGGGTCCATTTCTGCACCCTTTCGTGGCGTTTCTGAGCCGCCGTCTGTTTCATGTTCATCGGACGCGACAACGTGGTCAATCTCTTGTGGAAGAAGGTGCTAAATATATGCGTCCTATCGCGCTGAGCCTCTGGTATCACCGTGTTCTTCAGCCACAGCAGGTAGAAGTCGATTATGATATCGTTCAGATAGGTGCTGCGACTGAGGCACATATAGTCCTTCATGCTGATGCACAGACCGCCGGTGCCCGTCGGGGGATACCTCAACAGGGTCAAGTCCTCGTCGGCGGACAGTTGCCGTGGCTTTTTGTCCACTGACGGAGCATTTCCCTCGAGTCCCTGTGATCCATCCCCCGTCTCCGACAAACCCTCATCGGTGGTTGGCTCCTCGTCCTCGCTGCTCAGGAGCACCACGGGCGCATCGTCGAAGTCCTGACTGAGTAGGTACCTGCGATTCCTTCGCAGTCTTCGCTTTTCCGCCTGCTCCTCGAGCGTTTGCGTGAGTCTGCTAAACGGACAAGCATCTGGCAAGGATTTGGTTGGCTCAACTACACTAGGTTTCGCTGGCGACGAGGCGGTGGCCGAAGTTCCTTGGGGTTCCAGCTGCTTGGTGGCACCATCAATTCGTCCTGGGGATGGAGTTCTCCAGAATAACCGCTGGAATAGATTGCTTTCCCTTGGACAAGCGGTTTCTTCAACTGTAGCGCTGGGCTCCTCGCGCTTCCACCATTGAGGTGTGCTGTCAGCTTGCCAATTCTTCTGGGTGCCGTTCGAAAACGCCAGTTTTCCGGTCGTTTCCTCCAGCTTTAGCCTCTTGGGATCACTGGGAGCCAGCTTTTTCATCTCGACCATCTCGTTGTACATCTCCTCCGCCTGGGAAGCCATTTCGCCAGCTGGCGCTTTCATGATGAAGCCCACGGAGACGACCACATGGATGTTGCCACCGGGATTTTCTAGGCAATCGATCGTGGTCGTCTCATCGAACTGCACGCCCAACTGTTCGAGGATATCGTGGACCGTGCAGGACGAACCGGGCAATTTGAAGGTGATGACGTGCTGCGGACCACATTCGCCGCGGATCACCAGCATTTTGACGTTACGTTTATGCCAATCCTGGGCACTTTGATCGATCATCAACTGGTGAACCAATATCAGATAATCGTTGAGCGAAATCCGACGAACTGCCGTGCCCCGGGGAACAGGAAAGGGACATCGTTGTCGCTGCGTTGGCGGGACCTCCTCCTTTTTCTCCTCCTCCTCCTTCTCCTCCGCCGACGACGAAGACGACGAACTCGACTTCTTGCGTTTCATGATCTTTGCGCACATATATCACACGAATCAATTCTATTTACCACATAGACATTGTTCGATCTCCTCTAACGCTTTTTCGAGTCGATTGAAAAATCCCGGGCTGCTGCATAAATGTTTTTTGTTTGGTTTTCGGATAAAGATTTAACAGGTTGTCAGAATTTGGTTTGAATTTTTCGCCACACAATTAGATTTTTAATTTTATTTCTTAACTTTGGGCAATTTACCTCGAGCGGGAAAGACGGGTTTTCAGAGTCCAAATATTCGGAAAATTCGGATTTTCCTCGTTTGAAGATTTTGTAAACGGCGTCGAATCTTTAAGTGTTGCAAAACTTCAGCGATTAGTGGTGTATCCAAAAACATCTGTGCGAAGCCCTATCGATATCGTATCTCTACAGCTATCGATATGCCCTTTTGTAAACTTTTTGGTTCAGCTGCTTGTGGATTTTTTAGGGGATACATTTCAAATAAAAATAAATTTGTTAAAAAGCATTACAAAATAAATAAGAGTTTGCTAGAGTTTATAAAATTATAGTATTTATACAATATTTATATTCGTTTCATGTTTTGTCTTAAATATTTTTAACCTCAGGTCAAATGAGAAAAGTAATATTTTTGATTTCTATAAATGAAAAAAATTCACTTTTTACTAAATTACTATAATTATCAATTATTATTAAAACGTATGTTAGTACAATAATATTTATATGAAACCAAATAACAAAGTTCAAACAAACTAATTGTTTTGGTGAATGATTTCTGATTCGAAAACAAAATAAATTACTCTAAGGGTGTTTGTTGAAAAGCTCGACTTTGTTATATTCCCATTCTTAGCAATGGAACATTATAGTTTTGCGTCCATCAGCTGTCCATCCGATCGTCCACCTGTCCGACTTTAAGTCGTCAGTTGTAGCGCCTCACCACACGGATCGTTCAGAGATAACGTAACTAAATGTAAACAAAAATATTTTTGTTTTTGTTTTTTTCAAGACCGTCTTTATAAAAATAAAAACGGTTTCCCGCTGGCTGGTAGACACGTTTTCCGCAGGCCAAAGGGCTTGATTTCGCATTTACTTCTGGTTGCCAAGTGCAAAAATCGCACCTAAATCATATCTCACCAGTTGTCAGCAAGTTTGCCAAGATTTGTAATGAATTTCACAATTTTTCTTGGGTCTAAGGAAGATGAAATAGACTGAGACAAACTTGGTTTTATCTAATATTTTGGTATAAATTATATATTTAACGGAATTTTCTTTTATCAGTTTACGATTTTGACTATTTATTTTTATCAATAAATGGAGTTCAAAAATTGAATTTGTTTTTTTTTCGCTATCTGGAATGTTGTAGTTTCTAATGTTTTGAATTTTGCAACTTTAAATTTTATTTGAATTGTTTCTTAATTTATAAATAAAGTTAAAGCTTAATTTACAATTCCTTACCTGTTTAAATTTATTGTAAATAGTAATATTAATAAATAGTAATAGACTTAGCATGGACATAAGCCAATATAGGTACTTTCCATTACGGACATACACCCATTTTTATATCGATAATTTTTACATAAAATGTATTGCACATGAACATCATTTGAATACGAATAAAAACGTTTGCCCAACCGTAACGGACATGCGCACCAGTACAATTAGAACAATGGGTGTACAAGCCGAGTCCCTTACCAAAATTCCTATTGGACTACGGAAACTACGGGGGTAAACTGGATTCTTCATTGAAAAAGCCATTTGACGACAGTTCCTTAGAAATTCGTTAGTTGGTCTAACCAAAAATGTTCATAACTTAGGGCTACGAAAACATTGAACAGTTTCAAAACATCAATAGCTTACCTCGTGGAATTTTAATCAATGTTTAACGTAAGCCGTTGAGAAAAACGTTGGCCAATATAAAGTATCTGTTAGCTAGCTTGAAAAAAGCGTCCTCCAGCGGCCGAAATTTCGTTTGGTTCAAGTTCAGTCCGTTGACGTTCCGGTGGCGCTCTCGAGAAAAAACGAAAAATATAACTTAAAATATATATCGATATGCGATATTTTGGTCAAAAATATCGTTATAAAACAATTTTTTAAATCATCAATATATCGATATTCTTATACATTTTCGACATCCCTAACAACTGCGTTCGCGCCGTCGACGTCGGCGTTGTGTCGTCGCGCAACAACAAAAATAAAACAAAAAGCAGCAAACAACAAACAAAACAAAAACAAAAAATAAAACATAAGAACGTAATCCCTTTTATTAAAATCTACAGCAACAAAAAAGTGAGAACCCAGATTTGTCTTGTTATTTTTGTCGTGCAGTAGTAAATTCCTCGCTGGCGTAAATTGTATTATAATCAAATTGTTTAAGTTAATTGTAAAGATTTGGCCGCATCAAAAAGAAGCAGGCGAAAAGTGTATTTATTTATGTTTAATTCATGTGTATGTGCTTAGTGCTCTCTGTGTTTTTATTCTTTTTGCTATTATCCTTGGCGTGTCTGCCGCTCTCTATTTCTCTCTTTCGCCCGCTTTCTTTGTGCAACCCTCTATTATAGTTTTTTTTTTTTGCTATTTTGTTGAGTGCCAGATGTGTTCAAAAAAAGAGTATTAACCTTCTTTGCAAAATTACTTATATTTGTTTAAGTTCTTTGATATAAAACATTGTATGGCTTGATATTCTTGTAACATTTTAATTCTTAAAGTAAGTGCATTGTTTTTGCAGAAAGTAAGAGAGCAATAACCCTTAATGGATCTTATTGGCAAAATGACATATGTACATATGTATGTTTACTTTTACGTTAAAGAAGTTCCTATTGTCGTTTTTAATGTTAGTTGTTTTCTTTATTTTGAAGATTTTATAATTTTATTAAGTACATATTAATAATATATGTAGTATTTCTAATGTAGGCTTTTCTTTTAAGACATTTGAAATAAGTTAAACTACGGTTAAAAGGTAAAATAAGTAGAGCTAAAAAAAAAAATAAATAAAGACGATAGGCGGTAAAATAGGCAAATAGACAATTTCCCGCACAATAAAAAGTTTATTCAGCCGCTTTTCGCCTTACTCAAATTAAGATTCCATACATGATCAATTAATACCGCTTACTGTATCTACGAAACTATAAAAGTCTATACAAACCACATATGGAATGCTCGATTCCCTTTCCTTCGTTTTTTCCCCTGTTTGTTGTGTTTCGTTTTTCGCCGCTGGGCACAAATTTAAATTGATTTTTTCTCTCTCTGCTGGGCTGCTGTGCACATGTACATATATTTGTACGTTTTTGTTGTTGTTGTAGCTTTCTGCATGCTCATAATTGTTATGTTATAAAAAAGTAAAAGAAAGAACGATAAAAGAAGTGGGAGAAATGTGGCGTGCAACAAACTCAAATCGCCCGATCTCATTCCTCCCCGTTATAATCACCACTTAACACTTTATTAAGTTAACCATAACAAAAGGGCACTGCTTGTAAAACTGCAACTTTTAACCCTTAAGTGACCGAGTTCAAAAAAGCTGTTTAAAACGGTTAGATTTTAACTCTTGTCATACTCTTAGTGTCATTCCACCACACCAGAATATGTTTTTGTTTATACTTTTATTTACCACAAATTTTACAAGGCCTTTGTTAACTTACATAAATTTTGTTTTGATTTTCATCCATAATAACTGTATAAAACAATTTCAAAAACCTTTAATAGTTAAGGTTATTTTTTTGTAAACAAAATGTTAGTACTAGTTAAATGCAAAAATTTCAAATTGATGTAGTTTATAAGAGGAATTAAATTTTTTTTTGCAGCACAACGACAGGAACAGCCGACATACCCACACACAACTCGCACCCAAAAGACTGCAATCTGCCTTAACCAAAGGAGCCAGAGAAATTGGAAGGAAGGAACATATAGCGATTTATAGGGGAGCAAATCGAGTGGAGAGAGTGGAAGAAGGGGGAAGGGGAGAAGGGAAAGTACGCAGATTGATTCTAGCACGATCCGGATCTGAATCGGAACCAGCAATTGAATCGTTAACGGAATCAAAAAAAAAAAAAAAAAAAAAAAAACTCGGCCCCGGCAATTGAAATCGGGATCAAAATGAGTTCGTTCATCGAGCTGCTGGGACTTTTCCTGCTGCTGATGCTGCCTTTTCTCTATGAGACCAATCACATATTCCGATACTACTTCAAATTCCTGATGTACTACGGCATCGTATCCTTCAACTCGATCGTCCTCATCCCGGCCTTCCTAACGCGACCCTGTGATGTTCGAAATCTGCTGTGAGTATTCAAAAATAACCATTAAAAAATTGATGAGGCGTAAATGGGTGTTCATCTAAATCAATTAAGGTCTTGAGTAACTAATATTCAAATCAAAAACATTTAAATAAAAGGCGCAAAACATTGATCATTTTAAATAAAAATATTGCTGCAAGTAAACAACATTGTGCTAGAAAGTAACTTTTTTTTTAATGCCTTACTTAGTTGCTTACTAACTTTGTTAAGTATAGCTTTTGACTAACTTGATAGCTACAAAATAACATGGCAAATAAGGAGCTGTATTTTTGTAACGATTATTAACTTATCTTGATAAAAAAGGTAGGGTTGTTAAAAATTTAAGTGCAGTTAATTAGCTGGGAAGTAAGAGTGTCTTTAAATTATATACTCAAGCTCACGCTTTTAACCTTGACCTATTTGTTTTTAAGGGTCATTCACCTTTGTATTAAATGGATTCATAATTTAAAAGGCACACTTAGCATTTAAAAACCTGTAACCCCTTAAACAAATGGGTTTTTGATGAACTAAGACTTATTTATTTGAATCCATATTTAAAGTATAGATGTAATCTAATCCAACATTGTGTTCATGTCCCAATTTTTAATGCAAGTCAATTCACTTAATGAAACAATTTTCTAAACCCTCCCACGTGACTTGTTAACTTCTACCTTAGACCATCGACTGGGTCCCTCAAATTGCTGGTAAATAATGCAATGTACTGGGCAAGACAGAAAGATAGAGTAATTGCAGTATCGCCAACTTAATTTTGACCGAATGAAATGACTTATCTATGAGCCCAACGTATAAACTGGGTTATTGGGGTTCCCAAACCAATGACGGTTGAATTTTCGATTGGTCATTCTTCAAGAAAGGTTTTGGTTGAAATCCCAAGGCGACTGCGTCAATGACACATTCAACTTTAATTGGCTATCAATATTAACAAGGCCCAACTGCGAAGGAGTGACTGCAGGTGTCCGCAATGCACTCCTGGCCATCTGCCCGCCAAGGTCCAAGATTTTTCCAAAAATTTACCAATTCTTGTGCACTGCAAAAATATTTACAAGGTTTATTTTATTGAAAAAAACAAAAAAATTTATAGCAGCGTAACCTTTAAAGTTTTATGTAGGTATTTATGATTCTTACACGTTTTTATCATAGCCCATAAACTGTATCCATCAAATCAATGATATAGATTTATACCGCGATAACAATAGGTTTCACCATTTGCCACATCGGAGATTTAGTTTCTGACGAACTTCTTTCCAATTGGCGAAGCGCGATAACGAATTTATTACGTATTTATTGCACACTGATGGATATTTGTTGTTTCCTCTTTTGTTACTACGTCAAGTCAGCTGAATTTCCATACAGATTAGATCATAGAACATAAATAAATCACGTATTTTAGATTTCTAAAGAACAATCAAACAATTATAGAAAATTCATATAAAAGGAATGAATACAATGATTTCATTTATTTGTATTCTCCAATTTGAATATATATGTATATTTTTTTCATGAAAATAAAACATTAAAAAAGCACTATCTCTTTTTTTTTACATTTTAACCAAACATTTTTTCTACTTATACGATCTTTAAAAATATTAATTTGCATTCGAAAAAGCTGTTTTTATTGGGTTTTTAAAGGAGCCTCAAGTTTAAGTGTCATTCCAAGGACGAAGTTTTCGAGGGGAATCAAATTGGATTGTTGGGTGCTCGAGTTTCCAGGTGGATGGAAATGGGGAAAGGCGTCTAGGGAGCCAGGGAGCTTTTGCACGCTAGGGGAAAACCTGAGAAAACCGATTTTTGTCCCCACTGCGGTTTTCGGTGCTGGTTTTTTTTTTTTTTTTTTTTTGGTGTGCGGTTAGTGCACTTGCTTGAATTTCCCGCCACCTCAGCGATTTGGTCGACTCGAATAACCCATGGGATTAGGCAACCATGAATATTTGATATCGGGAATGGATTACAAGTAGAGGTTTGGAAGCCTAGTAGTCGCGCACATTCACCAACCATCTGAATCAATTATGCCGCCTTAACTATTTAATGCAGTTTATCGATCCGTTGTCGGAGGTGAGAAATAAACCAGAATTCCCGGTGTACCCACGCCCAACCTCCCGGGGGTATCATTTATATACGTACCGCTCCCGGTCTCTCTGCCTTTCGGTCGGTAATTACGTGACACGACGACTATGCCGATTAGGCCACGTGGGATGGATGGCCAGCCGAATGACATCCCGGCCGAAAGGGGGCGGAAATCAGAGCCACGCTTCGATGACTGTCAACTTGATTAGACAATATTACTCGTAAATCCACAATCGGCCTTGTTTGCCGCTGAATTCATTACGCTCAAATGATCGGTGTGGGAAATGTTTAATGACGTTCATTTGGGCACAGCGATACAGTCAATTTTTGTGGCTTTTAGCTAACTGTGTAATACAATCCGTGGCGAGAGAGGTTTTTAATTAAAATAAATTCTGAGCTTCATATTATTTATGAGCCACTTTGGGTAGTTGGTTCGTAACAAGTGTTTGCCGATGTTTTCTGTAAATCGGCATCAGTCTTATTATTTAAAGCTCTGGATATTTCGACACTTCTTAGGTTGCTGCATATTGTATATTTTTGCAGGGTCATAATAATCCTTAAAAGTTTTAATACATATTTATTATTTATTTTTCAGATGGGCGAGCACCTGGTGCCACCGCGTTTCAACGTTGATCGGTTTGCGATGGGAGCTGCGTGGCAAGGAGCACTTGGCCAAGGACCAGGCCTGCATCATTGTGGCCAACCACCAGAGCTCACTGGACGTACTCGGTAATAATCTGGGCTATAAATGGGCGAAATTACAAAGAAACCAGGGAAAACAGATTAATTCAATTAGATAATGGTTTAGCTAAATTAGTTTTGGTACTGAAATCGAATCAATTAAATGGTTTGTAGAGCTGTTTTGTCATTTAACCATTTCATATTTTTGACCTAATTTAATTTAATTATTGGAACTAATGAAATTAAAATGGTTTAAACTTATTCGTTTTTTTTGTTTTAATGTTTTCCTAAAATTGAAGCTAATGCTTTTGTGATAATTTAAAATAAATCTATTTTGTTGTTCACAAATAAATTAATATAATTAATTATTAACTTGAATAAATGTTGCTTTATTGCTCGCTATAATTGCTGCGAATTGATTCCACTCGCGGAATCTGTTTAAACGATCTCTTAATGTTCTTAACTAAATGGTTTCTCGCCCTTCACGCTTGCAGGCATGTTCGACATCTGGCATGTGATGAACAAGTGCACGGTGGTGGCCAAAAGGGAGCTCTTCTACGCCTGGCCCTTTGGACTGGCCGCCTGGCTGGCGGGTCTGATCTTCATCGATCGGGTGCGAGGCGAAAAGGCGCGCGAAACGCTCAACGATGTCAATCGGCGGATCAAGAAGCAGCGGATTAAGCTCTGGGTTTTCCCAGAGGGAACGCGACGCAACACCGGCGAACTGCATCCGTTCAAGAAGGGCGCCTTTCACATGGCCATCGACCAGCAGATACCCATCCTGCCGGTGGTCTTCTCCTCCTACTGTACATTCCTCAACGACAAGAAGAAGATCCTGAATGCGGGTCGCATTGTGATCACCACTCTGCCGCCGGTCAGCACCGAAGGTCTGACAAAGGACGACATCGATGTGCTGATGGAGCGCGTTCGCTCCCAAATGAGCGAGACCTTCAAGCAAACGTCGGCGGAGGCGTTGCAGCGATACAAACCAAAGACGAAGGCCGGCGTTCCGATCTCGGTATCTGTGCATCCTCCTGCATCCGTGGGTCCTGCAGGATCTGCGGCAGCCGCCGCCGCGGTGGCTAGCAGTAGTTCCGGCTATGGACAGCCATCGGGTTATGGAGCCGGTGCCGCCAAGGCCAGCTTGCTCAAGACGCTTTAGGCGACATTGGAGTTAAATAATCCACACACCCACTCATATCCAAAAACAAGAGAATAGACACCTCATTGGCGTAGCTGGAGGCTCCATCATTCAGAGGACATGTCAAGCTATTTACAGTCACATTTTTAAGGCCTATTTGGGATTACAAAGTACGAACATCTATAGTATGAGAAAGTATTTACTTTTGTGTTATTTTACCTTGTGAAGTCCTAAGTTTTAAAACCTCTTGTCTTTTAATTATTGCTAATTTAATTTAATAACAATTTGTTTAGAGCTGTAATATTTAGTTTTATACTCAAATACTCTACGTACGGTATTAAAATTGTTAAACAATATTTAATCTAGAAATTCAGTCGGTATTAGCATATTTATTTAAATCAGGAAAGGTTAATATCCGAAGTGAAATAATTGTAAATATTCGAGTAATCAAAAAATATGTAAACAACGAATTTTAAAAAGTTGCTTTCTTGTTTTTGTTTTTTAAATAGACTTGGCTGAAAGTATTTATACCTTACAAAACACTGCGCAAAAATCGATCATATTTAAATTTAAGGAGGTGAAATCCCAAGTAGGCCTATTAGAAAAAAGTTTTTAACATTTGTAAATCTTACACGCTTTTTCGCTGTATTGCAACTTTGCGAACTCATTTCTGCCTGTAATTGAGCATCATTTTGTAGATTTGAGCACTTGCATTAATACTTTGTTCCATCTAAGAGATTAAGAAAAAGTGTATTAAAAAAAAATATTTGACTTGACTCAAGAAATGTTTCCGGCTGCAGCCAAAGAACAAGAGCACTCACACACAAATAGTTTGGCTAACTAAATGGCACCAAAACGAGTATTAGGAGCAGTAACAAGCAAATTGCGACCCTCGACTGTCAGACTTTATCTTCTTAGGCAATACATACCAAAAACCAAACTAACAAACAAACCAAAAACATGTAATCTAACATGCACTTTGCAACAGGAATCGAAGAACTTGTTAAACTGAAAGACATTCGGATTATACAGTAGATATTGAATGTAAATTTGTCTCTAACAAATGTTATAGCAATTGTTATAATATTAGATACGTATCTATCCATAGATTTCAGTAATCCCTTTTGATATTTTCTTCCTGTTGCCGCGTGTAGTTGTTAGATAAATAAACCAAATACCTATATTATATATAAACTTATTTAAACATAAATTGTGAATGACTAAAATTGCAAATGACATTACATACGTAGGCCGACAAAACATGGTTGATTTGTGCAATCGACGAGCAGTTAACCGCGTTCTTTTAAAACCAAGCGTATTTTATTTACTAGACATTCCCTAACTAGGTTAGGGTCCCCATTAAAAAAGGTAATCTGATTCGATTCACTTTGTATCTTGTCTCACCTCACGGCATCTATGGAATTTAAGGGATCTTTAAACTAACACCTATTTATGTATTGTATCCAATTATATGCCATCTGTCTGGTGACGTGTTAACATAACTTTGTAAATACGATGCGGTTTACTTTAAAGACAAATCAAAAGCGATAAGATGACGAAGGCGAAGGAAACAATTAATTACGAGTATAATAAATATTTTTTTTCAAATATAATGTTTGTTTGATTTTGGCGGTGGGCTTCGCTTTGAGATTTCCCCACGGACTCTGCTCATTCGTATCTTTAAGATTTGTATCTTATCGGATCGTTAAATATTACCAATTGAAATGTGATTCCAAAGGCAACACTCTCTTTTGAAAAATCAGTTTTTCATAGAGATTTGCTAATCGCACTGATTAATAGTTTCCTGTATATTATTTTACGACTTGCAAAGCAACTGGCCAAGTTGAAAAATCAATAACGCCAACAACTTTAAAATGTTTGAGCTCAAACAGTTGAAATCTAATCGTTGATTTCATAAGCAACCTTTGATTGGACCAATTTTACCTATCTTCCCAGATAATGTACAAGTAATCAGATAAGAGAATCTTATTTTGGAGGGGGCATTGTCCATTGACCTACGCTTATCTAAATGCAATGTTTAACTTAATTGCTATAGTCCCAAAAAAAACATGATAAAGTTTTCATTTCTATTAATCTTAGATTTTTGTAGCCAGAAAATATGCCACAAATTCAACATTGCTTCCCCCAAAAAATAAAGAACTACGATGTGTTTAAGCTATTGTGAAAATATTTGTATATTTTTGTTAAAATTTTTTGGTATTTAGAATTATTATTATTATAAAGTATGCATACATGATTTTGGATTTGCCTCTTTTGCTAAATTATCTTTAAACTTTTTATGACATTGGTTTCCTTGTTTGTATTAATTAATAATTTTTTTTTAATTTTTCTTGAAGATTTCCCATTACACGCTCTTGTTATAACTTCGTTTTGGATTACATTGAAAATTGTCAAGTTTAATAGTTTTGTTTTTGTTTTTCGATTTGGATTTTGGTTGGTAAGGTTTAAGAAATGTAAAATATTACCTGCTCTATGATAATTATATCAATAATAAAGATTAATAACTTCCAGTCTGAAAGGCAGGATATAAAGCTCATGGAATACATTTTGAAAGCTATCTCTTTCCTCTTAACAAGATTTCCTATCTCTTTCATGTTCACGTTACTGAAATGACATACTGTTATGAGCTTTATAAGAAATGTATTCCCTTTATATGGACAAATTTTAAATTAATCTATTTTACATGAAAATTAAATAAATTTTATCAAAGTAAAAGAAAATTCCAGACATTGTAATCCTTGGAACTTTATATCCTGCCTTTAGTTAATCTGGATTATAAAAACATTTTGTCAAGGATCTTTGGGTCCTGCAAATGGCAAAGCGTTTAAGCTTAGGAAAAAGTTTTTCGGTTGTTTCACAACTCTGCTATCTATAACTAAAGACGATCAAAAACAAATCAAATATGTTTTCGAAATATTATCTTCAGATATTATTCGTGTGATTTGTTCGTTATTAGTTGTTAATTAAAGCCAATTTGCATTTGTTAGTTGAGTCTATGTTAAAAATTTGTTAAGCGCGCTTCGAATCTGCCTTTTCTCATCATCTTTTCTCGATCTTGTTTAATTAAAATTTGTCATTTGTCTTATTCGATACTTGGATTGATGTATGTATATATATATTTTTGTGTATATATATATATATATATATATATATCTGTTATGGATCATAATTGGTCAGATGTTGTGGCATATTGAATTGTACATTCAGTTAATTAGTTGTTTTCCTCTTATTCCGTTTCTCTCTGAGCTTCATATCGCTTTTCTCGAATTTTCTACTTGATCTGAATAGTTTCACCATATTATGGCTTATCATCATTTATTATTTACAGTTGCGTTTATGCATTTTAAAGCAAACATAATTTCACAGCCGTACTCCCCTTTTTTTCTCGGATTTTCCCGCATTTTATCGTTAATGTTAATTATTATTTTTTGCTAGATGTGCCTGTCAAGTGAAAAAAATTTGACCAACTTTCGCTTTTTGGGTAGCACCTATACTCTATATTGAATTTCACGGATTCCATTTAAATTTGATGTTCTTCTTGGTTTGCTGGTCCTGCTATAACTCTAGATTTATTCGCTACGATCGTAGATTGCTATACTCGTATATATAGAAAGAGACGGATCTGGCTTGAGAGTCATTAGCCTAGAGTTGAAACGAGATCTAATCTTCTTGAAGGGGTTTTCCTACATATCTACTAAGCTTCGCCGAAAGTTTTCCGCTCTCCGCTGATTATGCAATCGATTTATCCGAATGTGAAAAGTAAAACCTATCGAGCGAACGAACATAGGAGTAGGTTTTTGTTTAAGTTATTCTTATTAGTAGGTATTATTATTATTAGATCGTTAACAGGTTTACCTTGGGCAAATTTCTTACATGAAACATGTGTTTATTTTTTAATCGGTTAACTAGTCGTATATGCTAGGCTCTTTTGCTCTCGATTACATTACCTAATTGATATATATATATATGCATGTATATATATAGAATTTGATTCAATATGACTGGAGGAGTGTGTGGTGTGCGAAGTGAGGAGTGTGTGTGTTTAATTCATTTAGCCTACGATAAAATTAGCACCAATGCAAGAGATAATGATTCATTCGTGTCCGTGTCTGTTAGAATATTTTGGAAAGAATGTTGCCAAGATATGTGTAATTTACTACCGTTTTCTAAGATCGAAATTCTCCATCGAACTGCCCCTACCGTTCATATATAATGTATTCAATGTGTCTGGTTTCCAAAAAAAATTCAGCTGGCAAGCCATCGATTTTGAACTCTTTTTAAATGGGTTTTAATTGTTGAATAATTCAATCGATATTTTGTCAGCTCTAAATGACAAAAAAAAAAAAACATTTAATAGGAGCAGGATGTGGAGATATAATGTGATGCAACGTGGTGATTTTTCTTAGTGAATTTTCAATTTCAATTTGATTAAAAAACCTATCTTTCTAGCCGAAGTCGCCTTCATTCAGTTAGCTAAACACTAATCAACAATTTTTGATCCGATACAAAGAGCTATACACTCTTATGTACAATATGCTTACATCGATTTCCATATCTGTATACATATATATTTTCTATATATATTTCTGTTTACTATAGAATCTTATGAGCTAGAGACTGTCTTATACGTTCGCTTGATGAGTTTGTTCTGGTTGCTTGGTGTTGCTTACTCATGTATACTTAGGTAGATGTAAATGTATATATGCTATATATCTGCTGGCTCTACCGATTCGATTCTGATTCGGATTCGGATCACATTGAAGGTATTCGAGAGTGTTCTGCAATTAAGGGTTCATTTTCGTGCCTGTTCCATGGCCCTTTTTGAAATTATTATTATTGTACCTATTTGAAGTCTGGGGATATAAGTGAAAACCTACGCATCGCAATTGCACGATGCCATTTGCATCATCTAAGTTAATGCTCAGACATATCGCTATCGATATCTGGCCGGGGCTTTTGCTTATTACACTGTAATAATTCTCGAGAGAGTCCTACGCTTTAGGAGCAACAAAACAAATAAAATGAGGAGGTTCTGATTTCGCATCGCTTAGCTTCGCCACAAATTGATCTCCATTCCTTGCTATTTGACTTCAAGTTATAAGTTCAGGAAGCTGTTGCCCAGGAATCCCAGCATTATGGTGGACATGGCGATCGGGGCGAGTTGCACATTCGAGGCTGTACTGTTCCCGGCCAGAATCTCGGCCCTCTTACGCATACGTTCCTGTGGGGAGATTTATTATATATTATATATATTATATTATACATAGACGTATAGATTGGGCACTCACCTGGTACAGTTTGTCCTCGCCGGGTGGATCCAGGCACTCGAACTCGCAGCAGCGCTCGCCAACACGGAAGTTTTTGCAAAACTAATTTGAATTACAAAAAAAAAAAGGTATTAAAGTTTTAAAATACATTTTCAGTTGGTTTTAATAAAAATAAATAGGTTTGTTATGTGAATTGAATTTAAATAAAATAATTTCAAAAGAATTATTTATTTTTAAAATAAGTTCAATCCTTATTAAACTTGAATATTCTTTTTGTATTAAATCGTTGTTAATATGTTGTTTAACCTTTACAGTTTTTTTCCCCTTCCTAACACAAACATGAATTAGAGCATTATGAGCAACTTGGTGATTTTATATATAATATTACATTTAAACCTAAAATGTTGGATCAAATATCCACACATAAATTGTACTATTTTGTTAATTATTATAATTTTTAATAATAGCAACTATATTTCCAACTTGTTCCCAGCTTTGTTTATTTGGTATTAAAAATGTGGTATATCCACCATAAATAGGAAGTGTAGTAGTGGAAATGGAACTCACGTAGGGCGGATCACAGTAGATGGCCTTGCACCAGAGTGGTTCGGAGTGGTAGCAGACACAGAGGCTGCAGACCCCGGGTCCCGGGACGTACAGCATTCCGTGGTTCACCTTGTTGCCCTGAAAGTCAACGCAGTCCTCCTCGAGTGCAGCTGCAAGTCAGAAATCATTCATTAATAGGCTGAATTCATGTGATTAACAAAGAGATAATACATAGTATTTATAATGCTCCACTTTAATCCGGCTAGTCCGCCGCTTGATCCCCAGATCAGCGACTATCAATTTAAGTGTTCTGGGGTCAAATGCTGGGTCACTCGAACTGAAAGCCAGATAATTCGTGTTTTGCGCCGTTTTCTATTGGACTGAATTGTACACTAAATTGCCTGATTTTCTAGACGTCTGTTGGATTAACGAACACGATTGAAACATAAGTCCGGCTGGGATTTTGTGAATGAGTTATATTTATATTTTCAAAGGTTTTTAACAATTTAAGTTAAACTCTTTTCTAGAGAACAATGCAATAAATAGTAGAAGTAATCCAGATACAAATTTTAAAACATGTTTAAAGAGTTAACCTTTGCTGTATTGCAGTTTTTGCTTTCCATATTTTTTTGTGTAAGAGTTTTAAGGTTTTTTTTTGTTTCCCTTCTCTATTCCCTTAACATATTACCTGTGTTACAATTCAAATTCAAGGGGACAGTGGCACTGACAGTTGGATATGTTTGGGGACAGACAGCTGGCAGATCCTTGAGGGCTGTGGCCAACGCTCGACGAGAAAGTGGGGGACATTTCGATAGCTTTTCAAAAGCTCTGAAACATTCCGCAACATGCCTAGAAACCATGTCGATTTTGTTGCTAGTGACGTAGGCGCAGATTCGCATTTGTTGCAGGCTCGAAGGTGCGAGTTCGAGCCCCAAAACCACGAAATGCGGATACGCTCGTTAATGGGTCGCGTGCTACACACAAAACATGGCAAATTACCACCGCGTGTTTGTAGTTTTTTATAGTTAAAATATATAAATATAAAGACAACAATACTACGTTATTTGAAAAGTGATTTATTTATTGTGGGAATAACTAATTCTTTTTTTGGACTATCCTACCTAAATTGAGATGAAATAAACTATATTTTATTATGTTAATAATATAATATGTATATTATTACATATTATTTTCGCCAATTGCAAAGTCTTATACAAAAAAAGAAATTTAAAATTTATTTCTTAAAAGTTAAAAGATTTTTCAAATGTTGAATTCTATTATTACTTTTTATACCAAAAAATCTTATCTTTTAAATAATTAGTTATCAGTTTTGTTATAGAATTTTAAATCCTATATCCCTTGAATCATTAATAGATTAAATCCTTTTTTCAAATACGAACGATTTTTAAAGTATTTGTTGCAGTGGAAGCGTCGGCAAACGATAGCCAAATTTTCCCTCCTCTGTTTTTTCCGGCTACTTTTTTTCGTTTGGCAGCTTTCCTCTTTTCTTTTTGGGAGTTGCAGCATTGGAAAATGGGAGTGGAAAGGGGGCGGAGTGGCGTCATTTGGGCGGAAGCTGCAGTTGTTTGTTCAATTTGTTTGTTTGCCCTGCATCGCGCTTTTCCCTTTTCCCTTTTTCCTTTTCGTCCTCCTCACTTTTCTGCCCTTTTGCTGTTTTTCACGATTTTCCGCAGGTGCACGTGCTGCTCGCCCTTTACACTTCTTCTGCCGGGTTTTTCGCCGCTTTCCCATTCAGCATTCTCATTCTCATTTTCCGTGCTCTCTCTCTCTCTGTCTCTCTCTTTCTCTCGCTTTCCCTCGATTTTCGCTGCTTTCTTCTTTTCTCACCTTCTCTTTTATTCGCTGCAGTCCTCCTTTTAAGATTGCTGAATAATTAAAAGCAAACGTTCAACTTTCGTGCGCCAGCTGTCGCCCAAACAATTTAGCTGTGTCCTGGGTCAAAGTTTAGCGGGCCACCCCCTCCCCACCACCCACCACCCCACTCAACCGCCCCACTTTCACTCACCCTCTGTTTAACCTTCGCCCTTCTTGGTGAATACCCCACACTGGGACAAAATCGTATTGGCCAGTTTCCCAAAATGGAAAAAGCTGTGGGAGGTCTCTCCATTGCTTTCTATTAATATAAAATTAGAAACTAAGGCGGCGTGAACTGATTTACTGAAAATGCAATACGCTTTTGCTTTTGAAATTTCAGAAAGAGATTAAGGAATATTACTTTTTCCTCTCAAATGAATTTTTGAAATTAAAAATTCATTGAAAAATGTTAAGAAATTATTAAATACATTTACATTTTACTTTATTTATATAGCAAATCAATTAAAATTATTTTATTTTTCCCATGAATTTCTGCAGTAGTTTCTTTTATGTTTTCAAAGTGTTACGGTTTTCTTTTGTGTTGGAAAATGCATTTCATGGCAGCGGCTGCTGAAACAGGGCCAGCATTATTTTACAATTATGTTTATTACTTTTTAATGCACGGCGTTTTTCATTTCCACCTGACCCAAGAGTTGAGAATCCGGTCGACGGACATGGTTCATTTAGGGGTTTTTTAAGGGGGTTTTGGGAGGGGTTTTTAGGGGGTTTTCGGTGCGTTCAGGGCCGCGGCTCACTTATAAATAACTTTTGTTGTGACATTTTACAAGGCGGCCCTCCATCTCTTCAGAAACATCCTGCTCAAGTGTTGTTGTTTTTTATTTTTTGTTCGTTTCGGCCAGGGGAATTCATCCGAAATGCGCTTAAATTGGACGAGTCCTTTGTTCTATTTCCATGGAAAATCAATTTCCGCAGCATTAAATGGCGCTGCCTGCAACTTCGTGACAACTAGCAATTAGGAAATTAGCGGAGCATTTTACAACTGCACCAAATAATTAGTTCGAGTTCGAGGGAGACGAGTAAATTGAGGCAGATGAAAGTGAGTGCACTCAATTCACAATTCGGTTTCAATTGGCCAGCAATTGAGTTTAATTTATGGGATTTGCTCGATTGACGCTGCCGTGGGTTGTAAATACATATATATATGTTCATATGTATTATATAGTATATATGCGAATGCATGTTTATGTGCCAGTTGCAATTTGTTTTCATTTGGTTTAGTTTCGCTGGCAATTTATGTCGTTCATTTGAAATCCTCGGGCATTTAATGTGCATAATCTCATTTTAATTCAGTTGGTGTTCCTCTTCAATTCAGGGGGAAATTACTACAAGTATCCATTATAATTGTTTTTATTGGTTTTATATTGATTTTAATTTGGGTTAATTATTAGCTAACCTTTTAGATATAATAATTTAAATAAGTTCATTTGAGTAAGTGATTTGGGAAATCATGTACTAAAAGGTGTTTAAAAATGTATTATTTTTTCTTTTTCCTAATAACTTTTAACTGTAGAAATACATTTAAATTGATAATAATAACTCCCCTAAAATAAGTAGAAAAAATCATTTCATATAAATGGCCAACCAAATGGAAATGTGAGTGTTTTGATTTCAAGTGTTCAAATAAACCGTAATCAATTTTCAGCGGAAATGTGGAAAGTGAACTTTCAATGTCAAACGCCACACGCCACTTTTCCGAACTTGACTAGAAGAATGCTACAAAGATTTTTCGTTCTTCCTCATCGTGGCCAATTCAAAATGCTAGCAGGCCAACAACAATCAGCCACTTTCGTGGGAAAAAAAATTAAATGAAATGCACTGCCACAGTTGCAGCGTTGTGTCGAAGCAGTTCATAAATGCCCAGGCTAAGGAAAGGCAGGGAAAAGCAGGGGAAAAGTCGAAGGGGAAGGGATGGCAAGGGGAAGGGAGGAAAGTGGGGGTGGCAAAGCGGCAGGGTCACGGTGGCATCGCTGAGTGAGTGCAGCCATCAAGTTTTCCACTTTTGTTGCCTGCTTTGTGGCTCGCTTTGGCCACTCTATGCACAGAAAATAATATTGATATATGTATATATTTATTTCTAATTCATGGATAAAAATAATTGATTGTTGCAAGAAAAGTTCGGAAGAATATATCAATCTTATAGGTAATATACGTGAAAAGTTTTCTAAAAAATGTATCCTATCAAGAGTCACCTAATTCAATTATGAAAATTAATAGTAATAAATAGTCAAGGCTTTGATATATTTTATTTAATACTCTGTCAAGTTATATTGGCAAGTTGGGAGAGTTTAACACCGACCTTTTTAATTAAAAAAAACACTGCCATCATTTTTATAACAAAATCATCATTACTTTTACTGCTCACTTAATTTTCTTTCAGCTGTAAAATGTGCTTTCTTGTTTGGCAATCAATGGTCGTCACTAATGCGGCTTTTCCAAGTGCGGGGAAGTGGAAAAGCTCGTGAGAAGCGGCTGAAACATTTGTGAACATTTGTTTTGGTCAAGTCTCGACTGGCGAATTGCTAACGGAAGTGAAGATTATAAAACCATTTCGAATGCCATTGTGCAGTGTAATTAGCCCGGTCACGTCGTCGAACCCCCTTCCTCCCCCCTTTTTCCTCTTCTTCCCTTTTCCCCCCTCCGTTTTCCGTCTCAAGCAATTTTCCCTTTTTGCTCATGGCTCTTGTTTTCAGCCCGTCAACGTGTCGTATGCGTAATGGGCCTAGAGGAACGCTCGAAAAACGTGTACAGTTTCATTCGAGCTTGAACTAAACATTCGGATGCTTAGATAACTAAACTACAACTAATTGAAATCAATTAATCCACAAGGAAATCAAAATGGTTGAAAAAAAGTTATGAATTTTAGCTCACAATAGTTGCATACTAAAATAAAATAATATATATGTGAATGCAATTTTATGTAACTAGGCCTACTTTTTTGAAAGACTTTTTCACTTCTGCCTAATGACTGCACTTTCTATACATTATTATTTCGATTTGATATCGCTTTTTTTCAAGTATGCTCTTGTGTGTGTCCACAATGGGTGACTCGAGACTTAAGGAGCCAAGGATGAGGGCCATTGGATGACCCTGATTGGGTGATTCAGGCCAAGATTAGCCGCCGCATGGATCGATTTGCCAGCCGATTGCATCGCTGTCCATAATCATCCATTGGCGATGGCATCTCGGGCCTCCCAACTCTTCTTGTCACCACTCGACGGTCGATTGATTGCCCTGCCATCGTCATCGCCATTAGGAGGAACCAAAAATAAAAACTAACAACCCCCCGTTCGGGGTAATTAGCTGGAACGCAACGCTCCAACATCGATCGGAGGGCCCTTTATGTAAGCGTCAGTAATAGGATATCGGTTACGTTTTTTTTTTCAATACAACTTTTCAATACAATAAAACAGCAAAATCTATCTTCGTTAGAACCTGCATAAAATGCTTTAAAACCATTGTATTAGGCAATTTTCTTCCATGTTTCAAGGTCTATAAAAAAGCTGCATACCAGCTGTTTCAAATTTCGGGTAATACTTTTTTTTTCAAAAATATTGTTCGGATACCCGTTAATGAAAATGTTGCATATCAGCAATTCGGAGCCTTTTGCACTGAACCCCTTTTCATATTTTAGTTTCTTTTATTCCTGTGCTTGTTGTTCTAACATTCTAATTTTTATGGGGGACGTGGCCAAACAACCGTGCACGTTGCATGTGCAAAGTCAAGGTTGTATCCAAATTACTAACAATGAAAACTGCTCAATCGGAAAAACATACGCGGCCGGCAAAAATCTATTTGCTTGGCAGGACCAAATATTATGTATACGGCCAAATTTACAATGAACCACAATTAATACTCTTAAAATATTATTCCACTGTAAATACATTTGACTGATTGTACTGCTACTTTTTTTTTTAACTTTTTTGTTCCAACTGCCAATTATTTATGGCTTGACTTCAGCTGGCACACAAAAGAAAAAAAGAATCATCAAATTTGATTGAGCACTGGCAAGGTGAGGTACAGTGGATACAGTTTTATAAAAAAATCATAAATCTAAATAGTTAAATAAAAACTCTTAAGATTAATTGAAACGAATTTCAGCCTGCTTCCGTTTGTTTTAAATAGCTAAATAATTAATTTGGCACCCTGGAGATTTGCTTGAGAAAATATATTAAACCGAAACTGGCACTCTAAGAACGGCATTAAGGCAAATACATTATTGATCTAACTCGAAAGGGGATTTCTACAAGGGAATTTTCACTGTAATAGGCAGATTTATTGCCGACTTACGGGCGCCTTAGAAACTGGAGTGTCGGTTCGGTGTTGGCAACCTTCGATATATGCAAATTTCGACAGAAAAAAAAGGGGAAATATGAAACCAAAGGCAGGCTGACATTGTTATGGCAAAAATTCTGACAGCAGCAAAAAAGGATGGGTTTTCTCTCATACGCTGCGAATTGCCAATGTTACTGTGGATAATCGCGTCATTAAAAAGCCATTCAAACTGATTTGATTAGGAAGCTAAGACAAAGAAAGACCGCCATAATAACGGCGAAGGAATACATGTCCATTGGGGTGGACCTCAGTTTCTTTGGTATTATATAAGTGAAGGTAAGTGTGGAAAGAAATACATTACGTATACGCACTGATATCCCTGTTTAGACTGACTTATTTGTGGTGATTGTTGGCGGTATCATTCTTATTATTGGTAGTTAATTTTAAATAAAACTGAACTAGAAATTATATATTAGTTAAACGTTTGAAACCAATTCACACAGAAGCGGTTGCAAATATTATATATATATTATATTTGTTTGGTCGTTTGAGCCCAACAAACTTCTTTTATGGCCCTCTGTAATTTATGCATAACAATAACAAATAAAGACCATTAAACATTATTCGTATGCCTCTCGTTGTCAAGAAAAAAATAAAATAATAATAACTATCCGTAATTAATTGCCTGAACAAAACCAGAAAATTTGCCTGCCCAAAAACAACTCTTGTTATATAGAAAATATATGTTTTGTTGTCTTCCCTTAACTTTTTTTAATAAAGTTACTACTTGAGGATCTGACTAAGTATGCACTTTATGAAGAGTACAAGGTATTCAAAATACAAGCTAATCTTCAGTAATTACACCCATGAACCACTAAAAAGGTCCTTAAATCATCTTTCGATTACTACTAAATAACTAAAAGTTATTTCTTAATCATTTTGGTGACTTGACTTAATGGATAACCACTTAAGGAGGAATTTTACTTATATGGCATACGCTTTAAATGCTAAATTACCTGTAAAGGGGCTGAGGCAAGCCAGCAGGCAGAGGGCCAAAAGAAGAAGCCGGCCGACAGAGTCGGTTGGCAGCCACAGCGACGTCATTGGTGGCAGCCACGCCCCCTGCGAACGACTGGCCGCCCTTAGGCGTTGCATGAACGATTGTTGCTGTTGCGATTGGCTTTGCTGTGGCAGCAGCACAGTTGTTGTTGTTGTTGTTGTTGCTCTTGTTCTTGTTGTTTTTGTTGTTGGTGCTGCTGCTGCGATTGCTTCAGTTGCTGCTTTGCAGCCTCGTTGACGTCGCCATGTCGTTTGGGGCCCATTGATTGTTATTGCTTTCGTTGCAGTTGCAGTTGCTGCTGCTCTTGATGTTGCTGCTGTTTTGATTGGTGTTGCTCCTGGCACTGCTGTTGCTGTTGTTGCTGCTCCTTCAGTTGCTGCTGCTGCTGCTGCCACTGCTGTTATTTTGGGGCGCCACGTCGCTGCTTTTGTCATTGTCAGGCGTTGATTTTGAACTTGGCGGCGGCGACGGCTGTGGGAGCTGCACTTGCAGCAAATATTTCTTGTTGCCTTGTTGTTGCTGTTGTTGTTGTTGCTCTTGGTGTTGCAGCTGTTTATTTTCCTTGTGGTGCTGCAATTATTCTTCTGGTGTTGCTGCTGCCACGAATGTCCTTGCACTGCTGGGGTTTCATATTGTGTGTTTGTAGAAAGGTGACAGATTATTGGAAACATAATCAATTTAGTGTTGTTGTGGCAAGAAGGAAGTTCTAAGATTTTCAAGGGAATTCTGATTATAATCTGCTCTATAACTTCTATTCTTCACCAAATGTTTATATAACATGACAGATTTTTAAATTGTTTTAAATATGAAATTTTAAAATTGTAAACCTTTTGTTTAAAACATGTTTCATGATATATTTGAAGATACTGTTTAAGTAAAACATTTTCAAAAACAAACAAAAGTGTGCCAATCACCATCTTTAGTTTCCACATTTTATTTAAGTGTGTTATTTTTTTCTAAGGCCATTTTAAAATGATGCACATGGTCGAGTCCTTGAAACTCAGCAGTTAAATCGACTTTCTCCATAAAGATGTAAGCCTAATTGCTTCTGGGTTTACATTATATCTGCAAGGAGGTCTTTAGTTTCTGCCCACTGTTCTGGTCAAAAAGTTTTTCTGCATTGTGTCGACAGACAGTTTTTGGCAGCAATTTCACCTCCGCCTTTCCGTGTGTGTGTGTGTGGGTGTAAGTGTATGTGTTTTTTCGGGGTAGGGGTTGGCGTTTTTGGGGGGTGTTGGGCGGCGGATCAGCTGTTCGGCGGTTCCGAGTTTGGCAGCCGAATTGCTTGTTTACAAAGCTTCTTGCTGCTTTCTTTTATTTTTCTTTTTTTTTCTTTGCCACGGATGAACAGATTTTGGCTCTTTGCGGTTGCCAAAAACAGAAAATTTGAACACACCCACACACACACACACAAGCACACACACTGCGACAGATGGGGCGACTTTAATTCGAATCTTATGAATTATTTGCATGCCTTTGGGCCAAGACAACGACAAGTTCGAGTTTCACTTCACGCCGTTTTATGGATTTTCCTCCTTACAAGCACACACATACACACTTCCACTTACACTCGAGCACACACACACACACACACCTGGCATAAAGGGGACACGCATACGCTCATTGATTTTCCCTTTTCATTTCTTTTCCTTTTTGGCTATTTTTGCTATTTTCAAGGCTCTGCTACTTACATCTCACGTTAAATGTTTAACTTTGACACCAACAAAATTTCGCACGCAAGCACTAAAAATACTTGAAAAAAAAATAAAAACAGGGAAATGTGAGAGCAAAACACAACGTAAATTTCCCAGCCACAGCAGCAGTGGCAACAGCAACAACAATAACAGCAACAACAACAACAGCAACAGTAGCAGCAAAAACAGCAACAACAACAAAAAGAAACTGCCCTTCAGCAGCGATTTTTTTCTATTTTGCGAGTCCTTTTTACAGCCTAGTGTTTGCTGATTGCTTTTTGCCCAGCGTCTTTGTTGCCTTTGTTGATTTTGTTGATTTTAGCTGCCATTGCTGCCATTACTGCCATTGCCACTGCTGCTGTTGCTGTTGCTGTTGCTGCTGTTGCAAGTGTAAACTTGGAACCGTGCCGAACACACACTCTCTCTCTGTTTGTCTGCTTTACAATCCGGGCAAGATTCCGATTCCGCTTCCGATTCCGATTCGGATTCCGGGTCTGAATCCGGGCAGAACCACCGACTGCAGCGTGGGAGAGTCGAGAGCCAACTGACGGCGGCGCTGAGGCTGCGCCCCACCAAATGTTGCCGCCGTCCAAAACAGCAGCAACATCGCAGCAGCAGCAGCAACATCTAGAGAACCCAACAGCAACATCTAGAACCAAATGGCAGCAACATCACAGCGCAGCGCAACGTGTTGCAAGCTTTTGCTCGATTCAACTACGGACTTTTTAGCTTTCAAAAACATTTGTTTCTTTACTGCATTATTTTTGCAAAGCGATGGAAAGCTATTCATTTTTCGACATTTCCCGATTCCCGGCTTATGAACGCAAATCAAGTTATCGGAAAATTAAAAGAGCTTTTTCAGGAAACATAAGTTATACTCAGTCAATTTTAAAACCAAACTTGTACGATTCAAATAAAATATAAGTTAGGCGTCACAATTTAAAACTAGAGAGGAAGTGTTCGTTAATAATTAAAAATATAGTTCAAAAACTTGGAAAGTCTATGAAAGTGGTTAGAGAAAATTTGAAAAGATAATTAAGTTAAGAAAAATCCTGGCATTAGCAGCGCCATCTATGGGGCATATTTGAAGAAGAGAGAAGGATAAGATGGCCAATAGCGCCATCTAGATTATATGCTTTAAAACACCGTGTGAATATAAACAACTACGTACTTGATCGCAACATTTTTCCGCATTAAAATAAATACATAGTTATTTTGTATTTGAAATCTTTAATATTGTCAAAGACTAAAAATTAATAAATGTTGTACATTTGTTCCCCATCTTTTTCACAAATGAAAACGCCTTTTTTTTAATAAGTAGTTTGGAAATGATTTTATTTCAATATATTTCATATTCATTCATTAGTTCATATTTTCTGTTTTATACTTTTACACAAAAATACTTGTGTGTGAGTGAGTCCTCATGTTTGTGTTCGTCTCGTAGGTATTGGTATTGGTGTTCTTGTGTTCTCGGCCAGTCCTTCGGTCTGTCTGTATGTTCGTGTGTGTGTATGTTTGTATGTGTGTATAGTTGTGTTTGTATGCCATTAATCTGAGTTTGGACATAACTAAGTGTTAAATACAAGTTGAGTTATCTCATTTAAATATTTGTTTACCATTTAAATGCATTTTCGGAAAAGTTTCATTGAATTTCTCGTTTTCTTAGCTGACTTGTTAGTTTGTATACCCAGTTCTCAATTCTGTGAGGGTGACTCAGCGATATTTGATTCTTTTATTTTGGGTAGGGTGTGCCAAGAGCTTTTTACATCTATATGTTTTTAGGCTTGTGTAGGTGTGCATGTATGTATGTATATAATAACTATTTATTACCATTTCACATAGAGTTCTCTCAGCTTTGGTTTGCCTTGCTCTTTGGTTTGTTTTCTTTATCTATATTTTTCCTTTTTTTTCAATGAACTTTAGATTTAGCTTTGGGTGGTGAGGACTAATTATTTTTTTTAGGGGTTTTGTGAGGGGAGGAACAGATTGCTGTGTCTCGAGGTGCTGGAATTTTTTTTTAATTTACACACATTTCTCGCTCTTCTGCTAGATAACTTTGCTGCTGGGTTATTATTTCCTGATCCTTACTATTTGATCATTGTTAAGAGTTCACCTACGATCGGGTTTCGTTTGCAGTTTTTGTGTGAGGAGATTTCCTTAAGTTTTCGGGCTTGCCTGTTGTCACTTACAAATTATAACTATTTGTATATATATATGATTCTATTTGGTATGTGTATATATATGTGTATGTATATATCGATCTCATACATTGACATAAAATTTGAAAATATAATATTTAGCATGTCGATGCCCCTGCAACAAGTTCTTTTTTCTAGTTAATTCACTATTTTGCAAGGGTATCTGCAGCTGTTCTCCTTTTTTATTGGTCGCCTCTCTTTCAGAAAGATTTGCAACTTTGGAGAAGAAAAAAAAAACAGTTCCAGTAGACTGAAGAGCAAGCGGCCAGGCTTATATATTTATATATATAATATATCTTTCCTTAGGTTTCTATGTGTGTGTGGGCTTTTGACAGAGCATCTAAGCTTCGGCCTGCCGAAGAATGCTGTTCAAGGATCTCTCTCTCTCTCTTTCGCTTTCTACTCGTTTAAAATTTCGCTTAAAGTTTTTGCTTCTCCTGCTTTTTTGTATATTAAAATTGTAGTCTTTGTATTTTGTGTGTGTTGTTGTAGTAAAGGCTTTGTCAGTTTTTCAGGAGGGTCTCTAGTAATTACACATATAATAGTTGCGTTTAGTTATGTTGAAGAGTCGCTTCTTTATCAAGTGTAGATGGCGGCCAAGGCTTTAGAGGGTTAAGCAGTTGGAATTGGGTGTGTAAAGGTCAAGGGGATCTGGTGCGGGGTGTGGTCCATTATCGGTGGTTGGATGCCTTGCCTGGACATTTGATTAATCAGCAGACAGAGTCGAAGATTTCAACTGCTACAAAATGCATTTTTCCCATTTTATTCAATTGAAAAGAACAATTTCGCAAATTTACTTGCATTTAAATTTACAAACTTTGGAGAGATTTCTCACGAAAGAGCATCGGAAATCTCTTAAGATTTAAAGCCTCCCTGAAAAGGCTTTTAAAAACAAGACACCGTAAGTTTGGATCTCTCCCAATGATTAATGTCAAAAAAAATGCATTGTGCATTACTTTTTTAAAACTCGCATAGATTTCTTTTAATTTTTCCTGTTAAGGTAACACTGCTGTTTGAACTATTTAAAAATATTTATAAAAAAATGTGCGATTGGAAAATTCTTTGGGAGGAAACTGCTCTTTTCGCAGGGATTTTCATTCAACAAAGCTGCGCTTGTGTGCGTGGATTTTGGGGCGGGTGTGGGAGGCGTGTGTTTGTGCGGAAACCGTTTAGGAAGTTTACATTTAGATTTCTAGTTGTCTGTCGTCTCCTGCTCGAGTTGTAAGTCACGTAGAAAAGTATAAAGTAAGATGCATGCGGTTCCGGTTCGTTTCCCAGCATTTCCTACGTTCCATTTCCACTGTCCCGCTCTTAGTTCTCTGCATTTGTATACCTTTTTTAGCTGATATTGCTGATCTCGATCCAGATCGTTTGTTAAGTCGACAGGTAGTTGTGGTTTAGACCTACGAGATTGTTACATACGTTGAACTGCATACTAAGACTTTTGTGTTTGCATTTGTATCTGTGTCCATGTCGGTGTGTTTGCGTTTGTTTGTGTTCATGCGTATGTGTGTGTGTTTGTACATATACTGAATCGTAATCGTAATCGTTATCGGTATCGCTATCTTTATCGTTTTGCACATACATTTACACATAAATATGTAGCTGCAGGGATAAGGAGTTCAAGGGACAAGTGTGGGGTTTTAGTCAAGTTGGTCCAAATTGCTCATATCCTTGTCTAAATATTTGATTAGGTACAAACAAGCACTTGTCTTTGGAACTTGTTCTATCGCTATTGCAATCGCAATCGAATTGAATCGAATCCAATCTCATTTGATTTATCTAACCCATGTGTCATTCAACCAACTTTCGGAAAGGGAAGCATTTAATTGACTGCCAAAAAGTACGCTAAATATTTACGTGATTGCCGAAACAATGGATGGAAATGTCTTTGCAATGGCGATCCAATCAACATTTTGTATATATTTCGATATAGTATTAACTCCATTTGTCTGCTTACACTCTCCATAATTTACTTTTATTTGTTTTGGAAATCTTTTCGGACTTAAACAAAAATTTATTTTAGTATAAATCATGATTAGCTTTTTTAACATTATAACTTATTTATTCACCTATTGTCTTCTTTTACAAGCTAATTCATTAACAATCATCAACAACAGTTAACCGTAAATACTGTGCTCTTTGAAAAATCTGTTGAGAACTACGACTGGCAATTTTATATTTTCTTCCATTGCAAGGACATTTGTGTTTTCGGCCTGTTAAATTTGTTTATCCATATTGGGTTTTGGCCAAGTTCTGGCTGGTTTTGCGATTATGTCTGCTTGGGATCTAAACTAGTTCAATTACGCTTAAAATTGTTTACATTTGGTTTTCCGGTTTTGTTGTTCATTACTTTTGTTTTGTTTTATACATTTGTAAAACACCTAGAGTTCTTTATGATCTTGTAGTTGTAGTATCTTTAAGATAAATATTTATGTATATATATATATATATTTTAATGTATATGTATAGTTGGTTTTGTTGGAAAGTTCTTTGTTTGGTTTTTATTTCATTTCGTTTTTTTTTTTTTGTTGATTTCGTTTAAATTCAAGTTTTAGTCTTTATGTTTTGTCATTCAAACAAGGGAAGTTGGTGGCATGAACAATGTATAAAACGCTGTTACCAACGGGCGGGCTTACTCCGTGGAAAGCCCACCCACACAGCTGCAATGCAGTACAGTACAGTAGTAGTTGTAGTAGTAGTAGTATTATAAGGCAACAAATCAATTTGATGTGTTAGCTAATTTAGAGTGGTTCGTTTAGGTAGAGTCTTACGTCTAGGATTTAGTTAGCCATCAGGGGATTTTAATCAGTGATTGAGTGATCCATTCACTTCTCGTTCTAGTCGAGCATGCCGCTTAATACCCTGCAGTCCCAGCTCGGGCGAATACACTGACAGAAAACTGTTGAAGGTGCGGGGACTGGAAGGTACGTGCACGAAAATACACTCGATTAACTTACAGTTAGCCAGCTAGTTTCAAATCTAACTACATAAAACACACAACGAGCGGGCAGAAAATTACTTAGTTGTGGGCATACACCGATGCGATCTCTTGTATACACATATTTATGTATATGTACTCGTAAATATTTAGTGTTTTCATATTTTATGACTTACGCGCTACAACGAACGTACACACAACTTAGAGAGGAAATGACACATACACATACTAAGTATATGCTGCTGCAGCTTGCAATTACAATGCACAATTAGTTAAGAGTATTTGCTGCGTGGTAACTTGCTAGACATCCAAATTTACACCGAATAAGTATGCTTTCTTGCGCTTTCCGCGAATTGAACGCTCAATTAGTGCTCGCTTAATTACACACACTCAAAAAAAATTACAACTCTTTATAACTGTATCGGTTAATGTAACGGTATCTGTATCCAAGGACCAGCTTGGTCGCATCTCCTCAACATGCATATTATTCATTATTCACTTAACCCTCCCTTTTTTATTTTTTCCTCTGTAATTGAATCAAAGTTTCGCCTTTCACCGTTCAAGTTTGCCCTGCAAAGTATGCCACAATTTTTGCACTTTGCATTGTGTGTGCGTGTGTGTGTGTTTTTCTTTGGTGTGTAAGTTTAGCTATATTTAACATAATTACATACAGAAATTTACATTGATCATAATTAACTTGTGTTCCACATCTTTTCTGCATTTTGCCGGGATATGTGCATGCAGTTGGCCTTAAATCGATTTCATTATCGAATGCAAATAGTTATTGGGTTTTTCGTTTTTATCTCGCTTGTTTTTACTTTTTTGGGGTCCAACATTCCGAAGGATTTTTCCATTTTCAAAGCCGCTGGCCCCCCCGCAAATTTTAGCAGCCGAAAAAGCGTGCATAATCGAAAGAATTTCAGCTCCCACAGTGCCTTCTAATTGGATGCTGCCATCAGCGGCAACATCGACGGCAACATGATGTTGAATCAACAGCTGCAGCTGCCAAATCCAATTGACTGACCATGCTCGCTTTTCCTGCGGGCATCCCGCTGCAATGCCCTTTACCTCCCACAAGGAAAAATCGCAACCCCAACCAAAAAGCAGAACCAACGTAACAAAAAAAAAACAGAACCAACGTAAAAAAACAAGAAAGGACGCTACCTTCGGCGAGTCGAAGCTTATATACCCTTTTAATCATAACAAATGTCGAGAAAAATGTTCAAAGGCTAAACAACCTTAAATCAATGACGATTTTACTATTTTTCTTGCCAAAAAACAAATTAAAATACAATTTTCAGAGCTATGCCAATTTAAAATTTGATAAAAATTAGAACATTTTCAGCAAACCCAGTTTTTGTAAAAGGGTTGTATCATAAAAATTGAAAATAAATCGTCAAAAAAATAAAAAAATAACTAATCATGCAGTTTGTTAGAAAATTAAAGTACGAACAACTGGTATCTGATAAAAATTTGAAAAGTTTTGGACTAAGCTTTAGTGAAATTTGGTAAATTTTGAGCAAATCCATTTCTTCGAAATTTGGAAAAATTTTTTGCATCATAAAAATTGAAACCAAATGGAATTCCTAGCTTTCAAATACCAGGCCAACAGAATTCATTAGATGAAAGTTTTTTTATTTTTAATTTTAATTTAAGCAATTAGGACAATTGGGACATTCTTGGACATTTTGGGACGTTTTGTCACATTTTCAGGACATTTTGGGACATTTTGGGACAAGTAAGAAATACTATAGCTTTCTGTTCGCCTGGTACTTCAAAACTCATTTTTTTTTTCCAAAAATTTTATGATTGGCTGACCGATTTCGACGAGTGCAACTGTGACTATTTTAAGTACGTTGCAAGCTTTTGACTGCAATTATAAAACCCTCTGCAAGGGTATGGAGAGGAAACGTACAAAAAATGGGCAAAACAGGATTACTGCAACGAGCTGGACGAGCAAATGGAATTATGCGACTGGGACCGAATCTACATCGAGTAAACCTGCGACCCCCGCCTGTTGAATATATGCATTGGTCGAAATTTGTTTTGCGTAATTAGACGTGAATTTCGTATGAGAACGCGGCTGAAGGCCAATGGTTTTCGTTGCCAGTATCCTGGATACTGGCAGTCAAATCGCAATGGTTTTCGCCCAAATCCAGTTGCGCGGGAAATTCATGCTCGACCATGGGCAATGGTGAAATATGCTCAGGTTAACAGCGAAGAATTTAAACCTTCGCCTTTGAGTTTTCTGCCGTTTCTAGTTTCTGATTCACCTAAAAGCTGTATCATCACCCAATATAAAATAAATGCATTAACTAATAATATATGTATATATATTTGTGGTGTGTATGCGCGTGTACATAAATAAAAATACTTAAAAGGTAAACAAGGGAAATACAAAATAAAAATGATGAAGAAAAAAAAACAAAACAAGAGAGTAAAATCTGCGAAAACTTAAAAGTAGACCGCTAAGAACTAGGCTTAAAGTTAGGCAACCAGGCGAAGACGAAACCCAGCTGATGATTGCAAGGGGGCTCTGGCTGGCCAGGTGAAAATGGGGTTCTTTTGGTGGTTGACTTTTCCCTACCCCCCTCCTTTCCCCACCCCCCTTCCCCTTTTTCTGCCCCTCCCATCCCCCTTAGACATTTTCCGGCTCCGGGAGCTTGCGTTCGCAGCAATGACAAACGAGTGCGTTCAACCGCTGGCCAATCGCCGACCAAACGGTCATCGACATGGAGGACACCTCGCAGCTGGAGGAGGCGTCCGGCTGCTGGTGCTGCTGCAGCTTGCGATGCTCCTGCTCGTCCTCATCCTCGTCCTCCTCTTCGTCCTCCTCCTCCTCCTCCGCCGCCTGCTCCCGCTGGTGATCTTGAATCGCCCTGGCCGAATCCTCCCTGGTGCTCCCCTGTTGTCAAATCTTTGGGCCCGCCTCCAATGGCGAACCGCTGGCCAGGCCAATCTCTACGCTCACACTGGGCGGCACTCGCTCCACGGTGGTGGTGCCAGCTCCACCTCCTCCGCCACCCGAACTTTGTAAAGTGTTATTGCTGGGATGGCGACTGCTGTCGTTGGAGGAGTAGCGCATCATTCCCGGCACATCCAAGCTGTAAGCCCGATGTCGCTGATGGGCGTCATTAGTTCCGGTGGTCAGGTGGCCGCCAGTGGGGGCTTCCTTGCCCGGCGATCCTGTGATGGTGCAGCACATGCCCGACTTCAGAGCACCACCGCCACCACCACCACCATCCTGATTATCAGCCAAGCCATTGGCATTGTTGTTGGCCCGTCCCGAACTGGAATGGGAATGGGAATTGGAGCCGGGACAGGGACTGCTCCGAGTGCTCCCGAAGCGCTTGTTGCCCTTGTCGAAGCTGAAGCTGAAGTAGTCGGAGAACTGGCGCAGTCGGGACTTCCAGGAGCTGCCACCTCCTGCCGAAGGTCCTGCCGCTCCTACTCCTCCTCCTCCTCCGCCGCCGCCGCCAGATCCTGCACCACCAGCGGATCCTCCTGCGGCGGTGATGCGTCCACTGCTGGCACTACTCCTTGTGCTGCCGTTGCTGGGCAGGATTTGTTCGGTGACCGCCAGCGGTGGCGATATGTTGCCATTCGACGAGGAGGCGGTGGCCCCCACCACCCCAGCGGGAATGGCCAGCGGCAGCTTGTCCTCCTTCGCCTCACCCTCCCCCGAATCCGAGTCCGCTTCGGTGCGAGCCAACAGTTCCTTCAGCTGACAGCAGCCCGGGTGGTTTGTATTGGCATTGGTGTCCTGTGGAATGCCAACCACCACACCACCAGCCACTCCACCACCACCTCCGCCACCGCCACCGGAGGTTGCCTCCATGCTGCTGCGATTGTGGCGACCGTAGAAGACATTGCTGTCGGAGATCACCTGCGGCAATCCGTCCGAGAGCCGTCGATTGTTCCCGCCACTGCTATACTGGTCGAGGCTCACAGCCCGGTTGTTGCCGAAGTGGCAGCGGTTGCTGTGGTAGCCATGGATGTTCCCGTACGAGTTGCGGATCCGCTGGCCGCCGCCGCTGCTGCACAGCTCGCCGATCATCGAGGGTCGCTTCTCGCGCGAGGACTTGCGGGAGGTCGAGTGCGAGGACTTGCTCCGGTTGCTGCTGCCCTCCGTGTCCACCTTGAACTTGGACGTCTTCTCGGCCACCTGGGAAAAAAGGAAGTAAGTAAGTGAGTAGAAGAAACATAAAGTGATATAATTGAGATTACAGAGATTATACCTTTTAAATTATTATAATTTTAGGTCAAGTACTTGGTTCTCTTTCTTTTAAGTTTCGGTGGGGCTTCTTAAATATTTTAAAACTTTCCCCTAAAAATGTTTGCTAAAATGTCTTGTTTTTATAATTTAACTTTACAGTTTACTCATTGCAGCTTTTATATCATCCAAAAATATTTGAAATCCACAACTTAGTTTTCGTTTTTAAATTTTGATTTGATTATGGTTTTTTATGTTTCCCTTATATTTTTTTATCTACCTCGACACTTCTCAGCTCATAACTATTTCTATCTGAAACTCGATTTTTGAAGTGGCAATAACCAAAAAAAAAAAGAACCTATGGTAACATTTAGTAAAAATCTGCAGTTGAATTTCAGTTTGCAATTGAAAAATTGTGTGCATGGCTAAAAGGAATTTAATGGGCGACTTACATCCACTTCGGTGGCCGTTTCCGAGTCGCCGCTCTCGCTGCCCTCCGGTAAGTCGTGCAGCTCCGCCGCCATTCCGCCGGGCTCATCGACGGAGGTCCTCGAGGCGGACTTTTGCGATGGGATGCTGCGTCGCGACTTTACGCTGATCCCGGATCCAGAGCGCGGCATTTGCGGCGAAACGCTTCCGGCTGCATTGTTCCCCCCGCCACTGCCACCTCCTCCTCCTCCTCCTCCTCCACCGCCACTGCCACCGCCAGCGCCTCCTCCACCGGATCCCGAACCGGATCCAGTGCCACCCGCACCGCCGGCTCCACCGCCGGAGCCCTGCGAGTTGCCCTGGGCCTTGTCCAGGCTCAGCTTGTCGCTGGCGCCGCCCGGAGTGCTCACCATCGCCGCATTGGAGTCGATGGTGCCGCTGTTGCTGTCCGAGGTCGCCGACGTGTTGCTGTCCGCCACCGACTTGCGGGTCTTCGTCTGCGCGTCGTTGAGGCGCCTGGAATTGTGGCAGGAAGGGATTTGCGATTTAAGCGGACTTCATTCTAGATTGTTAAAGTAAGTACTTGTGGGCACTTTTTTGACACACAATAAGCCATATTCACATCTTAAAGATACAAGCTTAAGAAATATATAAACGTATATATTATATTCTCAAAAAGTCAAAATTTGTATATAGCTGTCATAGGAACAATCAGTGAAAATATGCAAAAATAGATAGATTTGCTCGACATTTGTAATGACTGCGGGAATATAATTTTCGCCTCGCCGAAGCTAGTTTCCCTTCTTGTTTCTTTTTTATTACGCTGATTGGAAAGGGTTTGAGTCATGCTCCTCTAAGTAAATCTACTAAATTCCTGTCGAAAGATATAGAAAGTAGGTGTAGTTACCTGTAGTACTCGAGGGCGATGCGCACGGGTATGATGATGAGGTCGGTGAGCTCGGGCACCAGTTCGCCGAGGGCCTCGAAGAGCGGCAGGAGGACGAGGCCGATGAAGCGGACCTGGGAGCCCGGCTTGCTGACCTTGTCGGGATCCATGAAGGGCGTCACCGGCAGACCCTCGGACTTCTCGGCGGCGCTCTGGGCGAAGAACTCCTGCAGCAGGCGATCCAGCCAGGGCTCGGCCACGTCCATGGGTCGCGCCTCGTTCGAGATGTCCGCCACTTTGATCAGGATCATGCAGAGCTGCGGGTGAAGGGTGAAGGGTGAGGGGGGTAAGTTATGGAATTATCAAGGATCGAACTGCAGGACTTACCAGATTGATGTGCGCACGGTTGCTGTAGTCGAACACCGGTGTTATCTCGATGAACTGCGTGAGGATCTCGTTGTGACGGGCCATGTCCGTGGCCAAGATGCACCGGATGATGCCCTCGCGAATGTTGCTGCGGAAATGGAGAAAAAAAGCCAAGTTAGTTAGAAATTTAAATCACTGATAAACGCTCCAGTAAAACTAATAACTAATTCAAGTCTCCAGTGAAGTTTTAGTACTTTAAACAAATCACGAAATATGATTAATGTAATCGTATTCCCTACTCTTTGGTAAACTAATAATGTTAAAAGGAGTTTTATGTTTTTATGGCTTTTCGGAATCTAAAGTTTTTCTTGAGTAGGTACTCTGTTATTCCCAAAAGTGGATGTGCAATACTCAAAATGAACTTAAATCACAAAGTTCAAGCTTATAACTATTTTCAAAAGATGGCAAGCCATTCAATGAATAATGAAAACTCACTTCTTTGGAGTGCATCTTAATTTCGAGCATTTCGCCACGGAAACAACTTCTAACAATTTCCAACTTCTGCCCTTATGTTTTTCGCAGAAAATTGGTTTGCCCGCCGGCGGTCGGAGGAGTGGAGTCCAAAGTGGAGCCGAGATTGCGCTTTCCATGGCCAAAAACGTGGCTCTCGTGTGGCCAAAACCGGAAAGTATTTACCGAGAAACAAGGCCAATGAAGTGCTTTTCCTCCGGAAAAACAGGCCGAGTCGAGTCGAGTCGAGCGACTGACAAATGCAGCGCGTAAAATATCAAATTGCATTTCGTTTTATTTGAAATCGAGGCCCCGCCACCCAAGACAAAAGTGTCGGGTGCCGCAGACAAAAAAAAAAGAAAAATTGGAGAGGTGAAGAGCAGGGAAAGGCAGGGAAAAGCGGGAAAAGCGTGCTGCAAATTGAATTTCTCGTGTCAAGCTGCATTGACGTGGAGACCCCACGACTCCAGGTGGAAAATTCAACACTTGCACCTGCCGCACTTAAACTGCAAATAGAGCGACGCATTTCACCCGCCGTCTGTCACGACTTTATATATTTATTTTTTACTTGCTTTTTTATTTTTTTTTTTTTTGTTTATTATTTTCCCATTGGAGGCGACACCGAGCGGATTAACGCCGCACACTTGACAGCGGATATTCCGCTGAAGGCTGAAGGGAAAATTACAACTCCATCAATAACTAAACAATTTCTGACATTTTGACGGCTTCAGCTGGCCTTTCCTCGGAAAATAGTCTCTGGTATTGGGGAGCCTTCGCCATTAAATGGGTTACCCAGAAATCGAAGGATAGTTGAAAATTACACGGCTTATTCCCAATTAACTTGTCTCGCATTTAGTCCAATCCTGAATTTTTCACATCGCACTAATAACATGTCAAAGTCGAATGTACCATTTTGATTGGTGAAACTATGTTCTTCTTGCAATAATCTGATGGATAAGATTAATTAAAATGCAATGCATCGTTTTCTGTTACAAAATATCTGGCATTTTCCATTTCCAACAGGATTAAGAGCGCCTGTCACCATCGTCATACGTAGATAACTGGAAATATCTCCGGAATGCAAGGCAGCTGGTAATGCCCGTCACTTAATTAAAGCCCGACGCAAGTTGGGATTTAATAAAGTACAATGAAAATACCCGGGACATTCGATCGAAACTAGACCGAAATTGATTTGCGACTGGAGGGGATTAAAAATGCGAAGAGGACTCGATTCGGTCTCAATTTCAGGCAGATAGAAACGGCAATCGAGTGGCCAGCCACCCGAAATTCCCTCCAATTAAAGTGGCAACTGCAGTGATTATCCAGTGCTGACATTATCCTGCCACAGGAGCGGCAGCTCCTTCCGCTTTCCCGCGATGATGATGATGAATTGTGAAACGGAGAAACGGGAAAGTGGGGAAGGCGGGAAAGGCGGGAAAGCGGGAAATGGGAAATGGCGAGGGGACTGCCAGATGAGCAAAGTTTTGTGCCGACGAAAAACGGCAACTATTATGCGCTAATTATGACTAAATAATTGCATGAAATGCGCCAAGCGCCAACCAAAACTCAACTCGAAACTAATTTGCAAAGCGTCGAGTGCCGAAAAAGCCGCCAGCAGGTCCTTCGCCTCGCACGCAAAACACTGGTAGAAAATGCAAAGAAAAGCTGAGGATTTTCGAATTAAGCCAGCCACATATGTAATTCGGTAATTGGATAGGCTTTCGACGCACTTCTGATAATTATGCACTGTGCATTAAAGTAAAGGCGAATTTATAAAAATCAAACTAATTTGTACTCACTGTTTTTTTAATTAAATAGTGCTATGATCTAGAGAACTCTTAAAAAACTAGTAAATAACTTTTCTAAAATATGTAAACACATATCTCAGTTGTTTTATTTTCATTACTTATTTAAAAGTTATGTTTAATGTACTTGGTAAGTTTTAATATTATTCTTTGTTAACATTTCTTTCCATAATTATTTTCTTCAATGTTAATAAAAGAAATTATATTTTCCATAGTTATAAAAACATTTAATAAAGAACACATTTTTTTCAGTGTCTTTCCTACTTTCCAGCGTTCTCTTTGATGATTTATTTTTGGTTCAAGTGAAGCAGCTGGCTTCAAGTTTACCGCCCAGCCCCATCATATTTTTCACCCACATTTCTGCTCGGCACATCCTTCATCATCAGTTTGTTTGTTGAATTATAATTGAATTTTTATTTTTTGATTTTAATTTAGATTTTGTGCTACAAGACCGGCGATGCGATGCGGTCAGAACTTGATCCCTAACCAAACACGCCCTACGCCCAATAGTTTACTTACTAAGCAGCCATAAACAAATGGGGAAATCTCAATTAGGCGAAAAGGAAAGTTGCAAACTGAGTGCAAAGCCCATTTTCCACTCTGTCCCTTCGCAATTTCTAAATGCATGTTGTCTCCTAATTGCAATGGGATGTAGAGACTGACCAAAAGGCGACTAGATAAAGATTGTCTCAAAGGTAGAAAAGTCATTCCCTTTTTTCTAAGGTTCTCGTGAAAATAAAAGTAGCTGTATGATTAAGACTGAAGAATTGAAAATTTATCTTTAGCTTTAGTTAAATTTAAATTAAACAAAAATGCTAGTAACTTAGTTATTGAATCTAGATTTATTTAAAAAATCAATTCAAGAAAAAACCAAGCAACAAAACAATATCATAGAGTAACTAAAGGTATAATTAAATACAATAATTAAGGAACTCAGGAATTGCTACTTATAACATTATTTTGACATTAATCTAAATCCATTTAATTTCTTTGCTGGTACCCCACAGTTGTAATCGAACTTTAATCAATCGAGAAGCTAATCAGAAACATTCGGTGTCCTTGTCCCTTTCTTTGCTCTTCGCCCGCCTTTCAAACATTTCTGTGCCATTTTATCTCCTTCAGGCAGTGTAAACTTGACTCTCAACTTTATTAGAATCCCAGTCGCAGACAGCTCTGCCGAAAATCGAAACAACACACAGAATACACCGTTCTACACTGAGCATTTTCATGCTTGAATCATTTTTTGAGCAAAGACAAGAAGAGAAAATAACAAAGATTTTTTTTACCAATTGGATACCTTCTGAAATATTCTTTTATTGCCTTCATTTAAGTTGGAGAAATAAATTGGTTTGTCAAAAAACATATAATATATCATATAATAAAGGTAACAAATATTTGTGGTCTTTAAAAATATTTAATTTTTTCAGTGTACTCGTGCTTGTCTGCGTGAGAAGGGCAAATCATTGAAGGTGGCCGGCTAATTTGGTTTTGCATGGCAAGGGGGCCAAAAGGGGGCAAAGTGGGCGGGTCGAAGGGGAAGGAAAGATGATTAATTGATTACGCGTGGGCTCTGATTTAACGGTAAATGCTAAGCCCAGTGACTTCGGCGGAATCGGGGAGCCTTATCTCCGGTTTCATCTTAACGATTTGGCCTTGTGGACGGCTCATTCACTACACACGTTTTTCGATTCCATTGAGTGGAAGTTTAAGTTCGCGCCGCTCTCTCGTTCGATTTTCATTGTATAATCTTTCAAGATTTAAATTAATGGGTTATGACTGCGTGACACGGCTAATTCGGAATTAACTTTCAGGTTAGTGTGAAATATAACGATTTGATTGCGAGAAAGTTCTTTAGATTATTTGAAAATGATTAAGAATACGGCACTTGGATTAAGGTAGGACTTGAAATTAATGAGTTGTATTTGTGATTTTAAAGCTTATAATCCTTGGTTTTATTTGCTTTAAGCATGATGTTTAATGTTGAAGAATGATAAACTATATTCTTTTCCATTTTTGCTTAAGTTTATATTACGTATTAAATTAAATTTTTTAATTTACGATTTACGATTTGTGGTTTAAAGTGTTTGAGTACGGATTTAGCAAATACTATATATTAAAAGAACATTTTTTATTTTATCTTTGCCTTGAAAGTATTCATTAGTTTACTTTTTTTAGGGATGCACTTTGTGCATTTATTTAGTTTTAATCAATTGAAAATATACTGCGTGTTTAATTCGCCTTTAATCTCGGTTTAAACTGGGGTTTTTCGGGATTTGTGTGCTTACTATGACTTACGGGAAGACCTTTCGGTCAACCCTCGTTGAACGGGCATCACAGCATTCGCGTTGAATGTCAGGCGCGGTTATCACCAGCTTATCAGCTATATAGCAGCACCGCTGACTCGGGTTCGGATTAGAAAAATACTTGGAACCGCCAGAGAGGCGACTAACCAACTCAGTGAACTGGCGTCGTTGTAACTGGAAGCGAGCTGCGATGGAGGCACCTACGATCATCTGGTTCCCACTGATCCTGCTGCTGCTCTTGCTCCTCCCGAAGTCAATGGAGTCCCTGGATTGCCAGCGGCAGCTGGAGAACGACATGGATCCGGAGGAGGAGCCGTGCGAGAACTTCCACCAGCACGCCTGCGGCAATTGGTATGCAAACAGTGTGCAACGGAGTTTGGGAGCCCACGACATGCGCTCCAAGTGGGTGGCCAACCTGAAGCTGCAGCTGAACAGGCATTTGGAGTCCTCCCAGGAGGCGCAGTCCACCCAGCTGGGCACCTTCTACCGCAGCTGCCTGTCCAGTGGCCAGTCGGTGCGGTCCTTCACCGATGCCCTGGCCCAGAGTGGTGCCAATTTCACTTTGTTGGCCAACAATTCGGCGGGTGCCGGTGGCTCCTTTGACTGGACTCTGGCCAATGCCGCTCTGCGCACCTACGGAGCTCAGGGCTTGTGGCGACTGCTGGTCCAGGACAACTGGCAGTCGGCGGAGCAGCGCATCTTCTACATCCTGCCGCCCACTTTCGGCCTGTTGGGAAACGGAGATGAAATGGACGAGTTCCTGTACGAGCGCTACCTCAAAGTCCTGCTAATGGAATTGGGTCTGCGAGTGCGGAGATCGGCGCAGTTGGCCCGAAAGCTGGTGGATTTCGAGCGGAGCCTGAGGAGCCTCTTGCCCAGCGATAGGGATCAAAAGCTGGTGCTGCGAAAGCCGCAGAGTCTGAGCGACTTGGAGCTGCAGCTGCCGAATCTCGAGCTGAGGAGATACTTTGAGATAATACTCCAGGGCCTGGAGGGAGATCCCTCTGCACTCTTGGTGGTGGCAGATCTGGATTATCTGCAGGGTCTGGAGAAGCTACTGGCCAGGGAAGACGCCGGCGATCCGTTGGTCCTCTCCACCTGGCTGCTCCTCCAGCTGCCCGTGCACTTCGAGCTGAAGCTCCACGACGACGAGAAGCTGAGCAGCCAGCGCGATCGCTGCCTGGAGCAGCTGAGGAAACTGATGCCCGGCCCACTGGGAGTGCTCCAAATGCAACTGGTGCTGGGGGCGAACTACCAGCAGGTGTACGATAACGCGGTGCAGCAGATAGCCCAGCTCTTCCGCAACCTTAAGCTGCAGTTCGAGTTGAGGCTAAATGAAACGGAGGTCTTCGCCGAGAACCTGGTGACTCGCAATTTGGCCAGGGATAAATTGCGTGCGATGAGATTGCTGACGCCACGGCTGCAGGATCCGGCAGGACATGCCGCTGCTGTCGGGCTGGCGGCGGCCACGCCCCTGGGCGGAAATTGCGACGAGAACCTGATGCGGCTGTCGCTCGACCAGGCCAGATTGGAGTTCCGTCAGGTGTTCGGGGAGCCGGTGACCTCCGCACCCGCGGATCCCCTCGCGGTGAACGCCTACTATCGCCTCAAGCTCAATCGCATCGAGTTGCCGCTCGGCCTCCTGGCCACGCCCCTCGCCCAGTTGCCATGCAGCCCCCCCACAGGAGAGGCTGCTGGGGAGGGGGAGGGAGAGAGGGAGGGAGGCAGCCATCACCTGGCCAAAATGTCCGCCGGTTTGGGCTACATCCTCGCCCACGAAATGGTGCACGCCTTCGACTACGACGGCATTAATTACGACGCCGCCGGGCAACTGGCCAACGGCCAATGGCCATCGAGGGCCATCATCCGATTTGGCATGCGGGCCAGCTGCTATTTGGGCGTGCGGTACAGTAATGCCACGCTAACCATCAACGAGAACATTGCGGACAGCGAGGGCCTGCGCCTGGCCCTCGACACCTATCGCCAGCGGAATAGCACCGCGAATCTGAGAGCCTTCTTTGTGGCCTTCGCCCAAAATTGGTGCGGTGCTGCGGCGAGTCCCGGCTTGGGCCAACATGCCACACACGCCGAGCGGGTGAACAATGTGCTCGGCAATCTGCCGGAATTCGGAGACGCCTTCCAGTGCAAGGCCTCCAGTCGGATGAATCCCGCCGAGAAGTGCCGCATTTGGTGAGGGATTCGGTGTGCTACAGTAACTCTATTTGTTGTTATTAATATAATATTTAATCTGCTTGGGCCAGCAATAAATTATATAATTATCCACAAATATAGGAAACTATTTTGTACTTCTTTTATACATATGGGTTTCGAAATACTGGAAGCCATATTGCAACTATTTTGAAAAGTAACTAATGTGGTAAAACCAGTAAACAAAAATATAAAGTACATACAAATGATTAATTTATATTGCATTTTTGCTTACACATTTTTTGTAATTTTGAAATAGGTATGATTTGCGAACTTATTGAGTGATTAATTTCAAAACAAATCAAATCAATCAATCAGAAATAAATTTCACATTAATTTGTATATTTTTGCTTCCTGAATTTGAACCATCTTTTTTTGCAACATTTTTATGCACTTTTAACCCAGAATATATGAATTTTAGTGAATTATTTAATTACCTATTTTCATTTAAACCTGTTATTTATCTGTTGTAGTACAGCAATACATTTTTCCTTGCACTCATCGACTTTTCAACAGCCCTTTTACATGTTCACTTTCATTTCTTTTTGCTTTCCCCAAAAAAAAAAGACAAACATGAGAAGAGTTTTTTTTGTTTTTTGTGAAATTGGAGTTTTGCAGCAATCAAATAAAATGCTACCACGCGTTTAACGGTTTGTTGGTCGTTGTTTGTGATTGCCCCCAGCATTTGTACCACCCACTTTAACACACACACACACACACATAGCCGAAATTGAAAAGTGTGTCCGTTTATATAGCAGAAATTGGAGAATCTACCCAACTATACTATATGCTAGAAAATGGGAAAAATTCAATGCTTGCCTCTGTTAATCCAGTTGAAAAATAAAAGGGAAACAATCGCGGAAAATAAATTAACTTTTGAGTTTCTAGCTCGGAAAATGCACTTCAAGTTTAATAAAATTTTAAGTAATTAAATAAACTCTTGGTTAAAATGAACTTTTTTTTTTTGGTAATTTTCCATCTTCGCTTTTGGTTCTTTAATTACCAATATGTATAAGTTGTAAGTTGAATAATTTTGGCTTCTTTACTAAATAAACAGTAATTCTATTGTCGTGTTTTAAAGTTAATTAAATTATTTCACATGTGCTAACCAAAAGCCAATTTTCAACTATGTTTTAGCTTTTGGACAAACTGGTTGCAACATTTTAGAGATTAAATAATTAATTGGCGTTTTAAATTAAAATTGAAACTTTTAAATAGTTTTAATGAACACAATCCAAATAGAGATACAAACCTAAACCTTTTCTTGGTTACTTAAGTTATCATGTCCACCAATCTGTATAAAATGAACTAGTATTTCCGAAATTTGCAAGTTATTTGGGCTCTTCTTATTACCAAGTCATAATGAAATAACAATATTTGCTTATTTAATCGGGTAATACACGAACAATGCCTAAATTTACGCACATGACTGCCATTCCTCTGGTAATAATCATGTTTAGTAATTGCAATGACAACTGTCTGCAGATTGTTGGCAGAGGCCACCCATTTGACTTCCCCCACGTTTTCCACCCGTTCTCGACTTTCCCTGCACACTTTTGCCGTCGCCGATGATGCTTGGCATATTGTGTGCATTTGCCGACAAGTTTTGCCATCAAAAACTCCCAAAAGTATCCAATAGTTTATGCACGCAAACTTGCTTAGAAAGGCGAAGGGAGGGGGAAAACCAGGAGGGGGAGGGGGAGAAAGGTGGGTGGAAAATAGGAAGGGGGAGGGGGAATGGTGGTGCTGTCAAGGGCGCGGCTTTCCGTTGATTGCGTTTCTTGTGCATGATGATGCTTGACATCGGGATGATGATGAAGATGCCCCAGCCTCTTCGCTTTTCCATTTTCCATTTGCCATTTCCCATCTAGCGCCACACTTTCCACGATTCCCGCCCACATCCGCAAGTCAAAGTCGAGAAAAGCATTTTCCCGGCTAATCCACTTAATTAGTGTTTGTGGAATATTTTCCAATATAAAATGCATGCAATGAATGCAGGAAAAAAAAACGCTACGCAGAATAAATGAAATTGCGAGAAAAGCGGGGGAGCGGGAAAACTGAGAGGGGAGGGGAGGGGAGGGGAGGGGGACGGGTGATGGAAACGCTGTTTAAAATGCGAAAAGCCAGTTGCGGGGGGTCAGTTAAGCGCGGAAAAAGCTTCGCTAAGCCATCAAATGGCTTTATTATATAAACGTTTAATCTGCGGAAAGCAAACTTCGCGCTCCTCCCAGCACTTTCATTAGTTAATCGAAAATAATTAAGTGGCATTCTTATATTATATATTAGGCAGTGATTCGAAAACGTTGAAGAACATCTCATACTTTCATAAGATGCACAATGCAGACTCATTAAATAATAATCTGTCATTTTGCAAGGCACTTATTTAGTTTCTTGATCCGTAAACATTGAAGAGCAACTTATGTTTTAATGAGATGCACAATGGAGATTCATTAGAAGACATATTGATATTAAAATGGAACTTTGTTTCCTTTTAATTTCTATCTCTCTTTAGATGCAGGAAATACAAGACAAATAAAATTAGGATTCATTTTCGCAGAATCACGTTAAATTGTTTTCTAATTGCTGATCAATTTACAAATTACAAACAGGCAAACTTTAAATGCATTTATTAATTAGATGAAAACAAGGCCAAAGTGGTGTAAAAAGTTCCTAAACCAGCAAAACCATTAGAGATTCATTTTAATTACTCGATAAATCGATTACCATTGGCAATTGTTCGATGGTTTTCAATTGCTCTCGATTGGCGCTTTTTCCCCGGACAAAGTAAAGTTGTAAGCGAACCGAACACTGGGATTATGTCGTGTCCGGACCAATTACAGCTTAATCTTCATTGCAGTGCAGCTCGCAGTTGCATATTGTAAGCAGGAAGCCCGGTAAAAACCAGGAAAGCCCTGGAAAACCATGAAAAACAACAGCAGCAATAACAACAGAAGTTGCCGATGCAGCAGACTTCGCACTCCTTCTGTTTCAACATTTTTACTTAAGCGCAATACTTATTTGTATTATACCCAGTGAAATCAGAAGATTTAAGCTTATGGATTTTACAGATAAAAATCGATTTAAAGTTAATATTTCAGTATTATATGTTCAATAAGATCATACATACAAATATTTCGATTGATTGATATTTTCATAACCTTTATATTAGTTTTCAATTTGAATCATTGGTTATGTGTTCTGCTATCACTGCTCAAAATTTGTTTTTCAATTTAAATAACTGAAACATCAATCAGGTTTTAAATCAAAATCCTATATGTTTTCAATTTGAATCTCGCAAAAAGGTATCCCCACATTGAGAGAACTACACTGCCTTTTTAAATACCAAATCGATGGATTTCGCAGTCGTGCCTTGGCATGGATTTCAGGTTGGGTCAGGACAATGGCTGCTCGGAGGTCAAGTGGGGTGGCGAAGGGTGGTGGGTGGTGGGTGGTTTGTTGGATGGTTTGCTGGCGCAGTGCAGCTGGTGGTTGTTAATTACCACGGCAATGGGGCGAGCGTTTAATGCAATGCCATTTGGTACGTGCCGAGCATAAAGTGGATGCTCGGCAATTAATTGACCCACCGACACCGGCATCGCCATCGCCATCGCCATAGCCATCGCCACCACTACCAGGACCAACGAAAGCAAATCGCCGGCAAATAGGACCTTAAATCGAGCTGAACTCACTTGAAGGTGTCGCGGCTGAAGTTCTTGAATATATTGCACTCGGGATGCTCCAGCAGGCGGAACGCTATCGAACAATGGTGGTTCTCCAGCGGCGAGATGTCATTATATCTGCGAATGATATCCAAATAATAGTATAATTGGCCGTCATCGAATGGATTTTTTACCCACCTGAGTGCCAGCTCGGTGCGGGCATTGATCTGGTAGATGTTGTTGTAGCCGGGATGGTCGAGGTCGTGGCAGATGCAGGACACCAGCAGGATCAGACACTCCAGGTCGCCCAGGCGACTGAGGAGATTCGCCTGGCGCGTTATGGCATACATCTGCAACAGGAAATGAAAATATATATTCTATAGTAGCTGATTAACAGAAGGATTTCTGAGGATTTATATAATTTAAATGTCACACAAATTTAAATGTTGAGCATTTCAATTGTAAAGATTACATTAGTATTTTAAAAGATTTAATTATTGATAGAATCAATCCAAAATATATGAACAGATGAACAAGTTTTCTATTCTCTTGTGAAATGTAGATACAAAATCAATATTATAAACAATATGTAATGTACTGTTGCCTAAATCTTTTTACATAGCTGAAAGGGTTGTGAGTTACAACCAATTAAATAAATACCATTAAAATGTACACACGAATGAAAGCCACCTTTTTGAAATACTTTCTATTTGTTGATTGCTCTACACATTTTTTCGTTCCTCAAATATAAGTTTAATTCTTACTTTCCTAAGCCAATTAAAAGTTCTCACCCGTAATGGCTTCTTTATTCCCTTGACTGACTTAAATTCCTTTCTGTTTTCCTTTTCCGGTCTAATATTTTACATTTTTCTCTCCGTTGAAGAGTGCACCGCATCATCCGCCCTTTAAGCATCACTTGCCATTTGAGCATCATCGATCTAACCATTTATCTTGATGCGGGCAATTAGCCGTGGCAGTTTAACATTTAAACTTATCCCGCAGTTAAGACTTAAAGCTGCCTCCAGTTTCCCCTGGCCCCTTCTACCTATTTTGCCACCTATTTGATCCGATCCGCCGTCTATTGAACACTTTCGCCTTTCTATGTGCCAAGTTAATTTGTCTGCAGCGAAACCTTTGCAATTACCTGTGGAAGGTCCTCCGCCAACTCAACTCACCCTCCTCCATTCCTTACTTGCCGTACTTATCGCTCTTTTTTAATACCCCTCAAAAGTGGCACAAAAAAGGTATATTTTTTTACAGAAAAGTTGAAAAACTATTTATTGATTTGTAGGAGTTCGAATTTTAATCCTCAAAAAATATTGCAAGTTAAATAAGATATTTCTTATTTATAAATTGTAATAAAACATGTGAAAGATTGTTTAAAATTATAAGACATGAAAAAATAGAATAGTAATATTTAAATAAATAAAGTTTCACCTTCGCGTCGATTTTATATTTAGGAATTAAAAGTTCGAAAGTGTTACAATTGCGTTCAACACATCAAACTAATGCATTTAAGGTTCTGGCAGTGTTTAATTCCCTAGAGACTAGCAGGTATCTCAGAGTCGTTGCATTCTAGCTCCCCTTTATTGGACCTGCAAAATCGTTGGCTGCAAATGAAGATGACTCGGCGGCGGAGACCCTTAAGGAATTTCAACAGCGTTCAATTGAAGCTCTTCGAGATGGGAAAGCAGCGCAAACTTTACTTCGTTGTGGGAGGGGGGAGGTGTGTTTGGGTGGTGTGGATTGGGTTGGGTGGTTGGGGTTGGTTGGGTGCCTAAGAGGTGAGACTTTGGGGTCTCTGGTCGTAAAAGTTGTTGCACAACTTTCGCCGCCATTGCGTTTACTTTGGCATTAAGTGCGAGTGAAGGGGGGGCGGGGATAGGAATTGAGAAAGATATATATACACACGCACACACACATATATATATATAGTATGAGGGGATATAGTGTGAAAACAAAATCTCCCAGGGAGAAACGGCGGGCGCAGGGGGTGCTATAAATTTATGCAAATGCAAATGCTGTTTGCGTTTCGAATTTCGCAAGTTTATCTAAATTCATTGTCAACAAACAGACACAGACAACCAACCAAGCACCCAGCCACACAGCCACCCATCCAAGCCACCCAACCACCAGCCGGAAAACCCGTCGAACCACCCACTCTCAAGGGTGGGGAGTTGGTGCATTTTCTGCTTGTTGGAAAACTTTTCAGCGGACAAAAATACACCAAGGAAATCAACTGCAGCGTCAGATGAAAAGTGCAGCCAATGGAAATTAGTCAAAGTGTTTGGTCACGCCCCCCGCGGCCAGCACGAAAAATTCTCAAGGGGGGAAAGTGGGAAAAAAAGGATAGAGGAAAGGGGGGAAAGGGGGAAGGAGGTAAAGAGGGGGTTTCAATGGGTTTCGGGGGCTTCGGTTCAATAATTTAAATTTACGCTCTTACCGCTGCCTTAACGCTCAGTTTTTGTTCGCCTGTTTGTAGGTTGAGCGAAAGCCGCTTAACGGCTTGACTGTCATGTCCTGCGAGCGGCTTTCAGTGCCCGCACACACACATACTTGCCAAATCACACACACCAGTGGAGGCAAATTACACGCACTATGTGCACTAACAAGTGCCCACAGCTGTGGTAAAAGCAATACAATTCCAGCAAGCGTTGGAAAAAAAAACTATAACTATTTTCCAACTTGTATACAAAAAATGCAACATTAATACAAATCAGTAAATCACTAAAATTACTTTTGAATAATTTTACTAAAAGTTAAACAAGAAAAACCGATATTTTCTTCTCTTAAATAATTGATATTTTAGGTAAAATCAAATCTTATATAAATCATCCAATTAAAATTCTTAAAACAAAGCAGAGATAGAATTTCAGAAAGCTGAAAATACTCAAAATATAATATTATATTTGATTATTTTTTTTTAAAGCTGCCTAAGGAATGTGGTTTCAAAAGTGTTCACCTTGAGACACTCCTATTTTTGCGACCACAGCTGTGCTGATGGACATGACCCGCCTATGCAAATGGGCGGCCCCATTGAATTGTAAAATACGCAACAACGCATATGGATCGCTGGAAAGCTATAAAAATGAACGTTGTGCGGAAAAGAGTGCGGGAATGTGGGAATGTATCCCCCAAGCGGAGGTCGAAATTCAAACATTCTGAAATCGATTCGTGTGCTATATTTAAAAAGGATTTTTTGCATAGCCAAAAGTGCTAAAAGCCTTTAAGTCCCTACATGAATGCAGATATTAGGCGCAGCTTTACTATGCAAAACTATTCATCATAATTGGGTGAAGATATTACAAAAATAAACAAAGATTTGATTTAGCTTGTTAGAGTTTTACAATTTTAATTGGATAAAAGTGCAAATACATGGAACGAATTAGAAAAAAAAGCGTTGGTTTGGGCAAAAGATAATCTTCTGTTATTAATTGCTTTTTGTTGTTTAAATTTAAAATACAAGTGGGATTTATCAAGAATAAAATGAAATAAATGCATTATGGTACTTAAAGCAAATGAAATTAAAAAATGATATGGATGTCTTAAAAATCATAAATTTGGAAAGCAAAATTAAATTTAAGGAAATTTAACATCGTATTTAAGTCCTAATAAGAAGTAAAAAAAAGGAAAATGCAATAAATGTATAGGGATAATCTGGGAATTCTTCTTTTCTATGAAAAACCAACAATGGATTTTTCCCAATCACAGTTTCTAAAGCAATCCGTATTAATTAGGCCACTTTCCTGAGTCTCCTGTGGCAGTGGCGTATTTCTTGCGATTGTCCTTCGGGCGGTGCGATACCGTTACGTGGGCGGGAACAGTCGTAAAACTAGTGCACACAGGTGAACGCAGGCGAGCGGCAATGCAATGACGTGGACACCGATGACGAGAACGATGAAAATGGGCGCTCCCGTGTGTTTGTGTTTATATTTGTTGTTGTTGTTGTTGTTGCTACTGCTGTGTGTTGTTGTTGTCTGGCACATAATGCGGTTTATGGCAAACATATTTAACAGCAACAACGGCAAAAAATAATAATGCGATTGTCATAGTTGCGCTTGTGGCAGCAATTTCGCAATGGGGCAACCGTGCGTATACTTGATGCCATGACTATCTGACTTTCTTTCCTCATCCTGTTACTTTTTTTCCTTGTTTTTTTTTTCGTTATTTTCCCCTTCGCATACTGTTGACTTCAACCTGCAGTCTGCCATTGTTGCCACGCCCCCTTCCTCTTTTTTACCCGCCCTTTACCTGTTAGCCTTTGTTGCCGGGAAAAAATAATTTATTAAAGTTTTCGTTTCGCTTTTCTCGCTTTTTGTCCTATACGTGTGTGTCTTTGTCTTAGTTGCCTCGAAAGTTGAGTTACAGTGGAGCCCGACTAAGTGCAGCTCTTTACTGCACGGCAAACTTTGCCATTGAAGTAAGCTGGGATTGACAATGCATTTTAATTTATTTCAGCTTATATTTATGTTGCACAAAAAGTGAAACAGAACCTCAAAACAGACAGAAAGCAAGAGAAAAAAAATTTGTGGAATACTTTATGCAAATAGAGCTGCTGAGAAAGGTAAGAGTCATAAAAGTAATGAAAAAACGGATATCCAGCACTTAAAGTTTAATGAAAAAAAACTAAGGTTTAAATGAAAGAGCTATTTGTTTAGTTTTTTTTTTTTAAATGGTTTCGTAATAGTTATTCCAGTTTTTTCCTTTTCAATTAAACGCTGGCAAAGCTTTCAGATACCAAAGTAGTTACGCCAATCCTGTATCTTATACTCCCAAGTAATGAAAGTACAGGGTATTTTCGGGCAAGTAAATGAAAGGAACTCGCTGGCAGAAGATGCAACAACACCAGGCAACTTTCATTTGCCAAAAATGTAGGTTAAAAAATGTTCCGCTGGCACTTGAGCAGCCAAGTGGGTCGCTGCTCTAAGTGCTCGGTGGGTTGCTTTATTTTTTTTTTTTTTCGGTGGGGAAGTGGGTGGTGCTGGGTGGTTTTTTGGTCGACTTTGTATATATATGTATTTCGTTTTTTCGTATTTTTTTTTTGACAATGCTGGGTGAGTGACCAGTTTCCCTCGCTTTCCCATGGCCAAAGTGTTGCTATTTAAAAGGGAAACGAATTCTTGTTCTGCCGTTCTTTGTATCTCGTATCTTGTATCTTGGCCGTATCTTGGCAGCTAAAAATAGGCCCTGCTCTAAGCCACATTCGCACACAGAGGGAATCACGTTCGCACGTGTATTTGTATCTGTATGTGTGTGTGTATGTGTGTGTCTGTGTGAGCGTTTTGGGTGGATTGCCCTTTGGCGCTTTAGTTTATTTTTGCATTGCATACAACGGGGCGCCGCTTATTGTGCTTACTCACACAAAGCCACACATCGAAACCCACACACACACACACATTTATATAGACACACAGACAAGCAGACACAGGTTAACAGATACAGATACAGATTCAGATATAGAAATACTTATGTGCCGTCGTATAAAAATTCCCACATTATATCGATTGCAAGTCACAAAGTCTGACCAGGCATTTATACACATTTACATGCATTCATTATGGGAATACATGTTCGGTATGGAAATATATGGAAATATCTTCATATACACGCCGAAGTATTTTATTAATAATCTGCGACACGAATCCCAATTTATATTGCTGAACGAAGGAAAAACTACAGCGCGTTTTACATTTCACTTCGAGTAATTTGTACTTGAAGAATGTGCATGTGAAAAGCGCAGACTGACTTGGCAGCTATATGAAATTAAAGAACCCTTAATTTATCTTGTATAAAATGAGAGAATAATACCCAGAAATAATGAGCAGTGATGTTGTAGTTACAAGAAATACTTATTGGAAATTTAAGCTATGAAAATATAATAAGAGGGCAAACCAGTTTCTTAAGAAAATATTAATGGGGAAAAGCACAAAGAAGTCAGCTGCATGAAATTTAAGTAACTCCAATTTAAAAACGTATTTATTTACAGCAGTAATGGGAAGGTAAAGCATGTATGAAAATTATAAAGAGCATATTCTGGGTTCCAAGAAATGCAAATGGTTATTCTGTTAATCATTACTAAGAACTACTTTGAATATGTTGCCTACTTGTTTTGAATTTTACAAAACATGGAATTTTTTTTGGTTTTTCAAATATAAATCACCTCAAATCGAATGAACTTTTTGTGGTAGTTATATAGAAATAGAGGTACTCACCATTTGGGCAACGCAGAAGCAGTGGCGAAAGTTGTGGAAGGGCACCTCGTTGTAGTGCTTGTAGACCTCGTAGAGCCACTCGCGCAGCGTGTCCACCGGAATGCTGAACTTCTCGATGAATCCCAGCTCGACGAACATGGTCTGCATGAGGTGGATGACGTCGGCGTCGCCCCACTCGTAGGAATCGAAGGCCGGGAGGCGCAGGGCGGCCCTCACCTCCTCCGAGAAGGTCGTATCACAAATTTCCAGGAAGCGTCGCTTCACCTCCTGATGCTTTGGTAGACTGCTTTTACGATGCGGTGGGCCCATCGGTCGCTTGGATAGACCTGCCGACAAAAAAAAGGTAGATTTCACTGGATTAATGGGGGGCATCATAAACCAAAGTGATCTTAAACCTTAATCTCACTGCTGAACATCAAAATATACTGGGCAAGCCAACATTTATATTGCCACGATTAGCAGGATTTACCAAACTTATTATACTTTTATAACTCAGTGTTGTGTAGACCAATTTATAAACATATATATATTTGAGACAGGAGTAATCAGCTAATTAAGCCGTTTTTATATTAATCTAACTTTTTATATTTGCACTGACAGAAAAACAAAAGCCTAATTGAATTATTTATATGTTTATAATAGTTTCTATGTTGAGTGAAGCATTTCTTACTATTCCCAAAAATTAGAAACACTTTTTTTAAACCGAATTATATAAACGATAACATTTTACGTTGCCTCAGCCCATCGATTCCCTGCCATTTATTGAACTGAATTTCAGCCAGACAGACGGACAAACAGATAGACGGCAGTCGAGTGGAAATCTGTCGAGCTGCTCGGTTTTTCAATAAATAAATCAGGCAGTCGAAACAGGAAATACAGTCTGCCGATTCGACCCATGGCAATTTGGATTATTGCAAATAAAGCGGGCGAGAAGCACAGGCAAATATCCAAGCCAAGTTCAAATCCGACTTCAGATCCAAATCAAAATCAAAATCCACTTGCCGGGCACGAATATCAACGGAAATACATTGGCCTGGTCTAAACCGGTGGCACAGCTTCCTTTTTCGTCTTTTTCCATCTTCTGAGGTTGGTATTTCGTTTCGTTTTTGGTTTCTTTTTTTTTTGTTTTGCCCCCTTGGTTTTTGTTTTTATTTCAGCGCCATAGGCGGGAAATTCAATTTTCAATCGGTGGCACGCTTCAATGGCTGAAAATGAAGCAGTGAGCGAACTGTGGTCCTCTGCCAGATAGTTTACCTTCGCCGGCGGAAGCTGCTGTGCCACGCCCCCCACCCCGTTCCGCCCCTTCTGGGAAACGCCCCTTTGGGCCAGGTGGTGCGATCCAGGAAAAGTTGAAATGTTTTGCCTCAATTTAGCTTGCAAATGAATCAAAACATTTTATGATTGCGGGCCACCCTTGAGAGGGAAATGAACTAGCCTTCGTGTTTCGGCCGTCTAATGAAGTTGGCCAGCAGTCCTTTTTTTTTTGTTTTTTTCCTCCTTGTTTTGGGGCCCAAAGGAGGTCAAGCTGGGATAGTGGCTGTATCGAAATTAGACCGGTTTCAACTTTTTAGCTAATTAAAATTTGTTTTAATAATTTAAATAAATCATTAAAATAACCAAAAAAGATATAGTTTGGATTAATGTTTATGTTGTCAATATAATGAAAAGTCCCGAAGTAATTATATTCCTATACTCTTGCGGAGGGTATTATAATTTCAGTCATTTGCAGAACAACAATTAATAATTAACCCCTTTTTAAAACCCTTTCAGTCACAAATGAAAGCATTGTTTTGCATAGAATAGTGAAGAAACTTTGAAATAAAATGCCACTCTTAAGCTCACTAAATCGCCATTGAAATTTCATGGCTGGTCAACCAAGGTACAATATGAAATTATTGGGAATTTCGCATAAGGTTTCAGAGTGATTTCAAATTTGCTTCCTTTCCATCGAGTGACAAAGGAAAATCCCCTATCAAAGGACATTCCATGACGCCCTCTTTCATTTGTCGTATTTGCAATTTTGGGGAAGGAAGAGTCCAAAAGACTATGGGTCTACTACATACTCATAGATCGCTGCTGGGACAAAAGGACACAACTTCCTGCCTTCTTTCAAGCGACTTTTCCAGCTGGTTACGGGTCGAAAGTGGAGGGCAGGGGAACGGGGAAATGGTGGCCAGAATTTGCAAAGATCTCATTGTAATGAGAGTTGACTTTTCCGACAGTTTCCCATACCCCTTTCGCTCGGTTCGGGGTTTTCCTCTATTCGTTTTTACCCACATCACAAGCGGTGCCACTCTTCGAAATTTGATTAAAACGGTTCCCTTTGAAGTGCACCCCTACCCGCAAGCCCCACTCGCACACAGATACTTGCTTAACACACACACACACAAACACGCACACAAACACGCACACAAACACACACACACATAGACACACACAGACAGAGACAGAGTAGTGGCAGTGCCACGCCTCCCGCTGATGGCCGCCCACATGTGCTGCAAGCCAAACACTTTGCGGGCAACGGTTATAATTAATTTACTGCCACTTACAATTTTTAATTAAGCCGCCGTCGCGTTTCTGATATGCTGTGTGTATAGACTAAGTGCACTGGTCAAAAAAATGGGTGACTAAAATATAGGGTAATTCAAACAAAAAGTTTATGTTTTGAAGGGTTACCCAAAATTGTAAGAGTTAAGTTTAATATTTATTTTTTGGTTTTCATAAATTATATATCTTTTCCTTCATGAATTTCTTTATCTTTTGTTTTATTTATTGAAATTATAGATTCCGTTAAAACAAAATTTAATTGTTAATTTATAATTTTTTGATTTAAAGATCTCAAATGAAATACCAGTTAAGTCTTCATTCTATATTTCAATGTCTTATTTAAGACCAAAGTAACCAAAATTAAATCCAAAATCCAAAATAGAAACATGTATTTATAAATTTTAAATTGAATTTATTCTTTCAATCAAAATACAATTAGCTCTATAATATTTAATTAAGCTAATCATTTTTATTATTATTTTTATTATTATTATTATTTTTTTGCTGTGTCGTTTTTGTTTGTTTGCCTCTCTATTTGCACACTCTTATTGCCCGCCCACAAAACGAGAACGGGAAAGTGGAAAAAAAATTTGCGAGAAGAAAGGCAGATTCTGCGAAGGGGTAATGAAAGGTTGCTTCGTTATTAACTGACAGATTGATTTACAATGGAGCTGGTGGGTCTGCGGGCTGGGGGGAGAATAGATGGATAGTGAGACTCGGTGCGCAGTCGATAATTACACACGATAAGCGAGATTCGGTTGGAAAAACGCTGCCAAGGAAGATGCGATGGGGGAAAATCATGAAAAAATCATGACTGGTTGTGAGTGGTAATTCAATCGGCTAATTGGACTACTGCTCGGAGGCTAATTGTGAATTTACAAGGGCCAATAAACGGCTAATAAGCTAAGCTGATTGAGTGCTTTAAAGTGTAGTGATAACTTAATTGATTAATGAATTTAATATGGGTAAATAGTGTTATTTGATAGCTTAGCTGCTTTCAATTCAAACATGAAACTGGAATAAAACTGTTTTTGCAAGACATTCAGCAGGCTTACATTTTCCAAGGGCGAGAGCCCTTATTCACTGCCTGCACATAAAGTGAAATTGAATTAAAATTTGTTCGATATCCGGAGTAACCCCCTATCCACCCCTCTCCCTCCTCGATTTTCCAGTCAGGTGACAGGTTGATCGATGAGTTCTGCCAGAGACTTTTTCCCCAAATCCTTCGCCGGAAAAGAGTTTCCTTCAATGCAACTTTGATGCATCGAAATATGCAAGTATAATATGAAAATGTCACTGGGCTTTCCTCTCATTTCCTCACATTTCCCTTTTCTTTTCCCTTTACCGGTTTCTTTTTCCGCACAGCGCTGACAGTCGCAGATGCAAAATACTGGCTGTCAATTATATTTCCCACACAAACAGTAATAGTTTACAAAGGGCGTAAAATCAATGATTGATTGAGAAGCGACAATGAGACAGAGAGTAATGCACATCGATGGTTCTGGACAATTTGCAGTTGATTAGCAATCAAAGTAATTGCGGCAAGACCAACAGGAAAAACAGAGCAAAAACATGGCTTTTTCCACAGTCCTTTTTCCCATTTTTCCTGGTTGTTTAGGTGCAGTTTCATTGTTGTGCAGTTTCGTTTGCCAATTTGCCGGCGCACAGAGGACTTGATAAATGAACTGGATATTTTGTGCCCAGCCGAGTTGGGCAATAAAATTTGCTGCCAAATATTGCAATTGTTGCAATGGCTTCGGTGGTCAGTGGGTGGTTGCTTGCATTCATCTCCTCCGCCCCCTTTTCTCACATTGCGCATACGCCGTGTGGCAGCTGCACTCCATTTCGCTCGGACCACCTACCATTTTGGCCATTTATCAGACCGCCGGTCTTGGCCCACAGCAACTTGGCCAAGTGACGCACCGGAAAAGGAGAGCGAGAGAGAGCTCATGGCCCATAATTCAATTGTTTTTACTTGCGATGCGGCAAAGTTTGCTCTTAGACAGCGGGGTTTTCCTTTTCTGCCAATTGCATTTCATGGCGAACGTTAAGCGAAGCGACAGTTTGAATTATGCCCTGATGCATAATCGATGCCAGCTGACAGTCAGTCGAGAATCAAGAATCGAGAATCGAAACTCGAGATGGCCGCCCGGTTCCAAAAATACAAAACTGTCATCGGTGAAATGCCAAAGGGAAGCAGCGGGTGGCAGCTTTTAGATGCTTCTGCTTTTGCTGCAAACTGAGCAAATGTCCAGGTGAAAATGCATCGCATGAATTCGTAATGAACAATGGACGGAAGGTATTTCCGTGAACCTAATAAATATTCAATTTGATGCGAACGAAATTAGATAGAAGTCGGCAAGGACGTGCATGCGAATATGATTCCTGCTGGCCACAAAATTTAAGAAGGTTTTCTCTTTCACCGGTGACCGAAATTTATGCACAAAATCCATTTTTAAATTGGTTGCCTGGGCAAAAGGAAAATAATCCTTGGGTGTTTTTCACCCAAAAGTTTGTAGACACTTCTAAGCGAAGGTGTGAGCGCATTTCATAAAAAGTTCAATCGAAAGCCTTTTAATCCTATTTTACGGCTGAATGCCTTAACTATTGCGTTTGCTTTTTTAGGGGGGCTTCCTTAAAAGTTTTCAACACAAATAAACTAGTATAAATTACAATAGATTCGATTTCTAGAAGTTGAATGGTCAGGTTATTGTTTGTAAATTTTAATTGTTTCTGAAACTAATTTGAATGGCTTAAAATTTAAACCTATTCCATCATA